GCTCTAGAAAAGATTTAAAAAGATTAAATAATAAAAAAAAAGGTTTTTCACCGGCTAATAGATGTTGGGTTGTCGAGAGAAAACAAAAATAAAACAATTGGACATAGCTTTCTGCTATCCATTTGTTGTCTCTATAATATAATACAATCCGAAACGTACGTTTGAAGTAAGCTCCCAGTCAACTGATATGTCTATTTTTTTTATTTGGTTCTATTTTTTTTAAAATCCTATTTAAGGACGTCGTGAAATATTCAAAAAAATTGCTCAAGTTGTTGTAGTGCTTCTTCTCTTTATTATCCATTGACTCGTTCAAATACACACTTTTCTATCCTAACATTTCTTTTTTTTTTTTTTTACTAGATTCTCATTTTCGGACATGTAATTTTTAAATTTTTTTTTATCAGTAAACGAAAATAACATTGATACGATAAGAGTAATTAAGAAGAGATGAGCTTTGATCGAACGACGGTGAAAAATGAGCCTTCATAACATAAAACATTCATCTCATTTAAACAATAAAGAAAGAAAGTATCCATAAGCTATAAACATAGAGCGATGATACAATATTGAAAGTTGAAACTTTGTAATGAAAAAAAATAAGGGATGTCGTCATATTTAACACATGCACAATGGCGGTTATTTTACATTTTCATGTGTAAGAAGATAATTTCGTCGTGTGTATATATATATATATATATATATATATATATATATTCTCATAGATCTCCATACTATTTTCTCAAAAGTCATTCCTGCATAACTTTTCTCTCAAAAATAATAATAATTGAAACTTGTAAGCGCGATTTAAACTCTCAATCTCGTAATATCAATCTACTTTTTAACAATTCACTGACTTCTAACATCCTTGTCCAAAATGACCTGAGAAATTTTCGAGCAGTTTGATTAAACAAATAGTACTACCTCCATCGCACAAAAATAATCAACATTGATTTTTCAAATTTGTACTAAAAACGGTACAAAACTTAAAATTTAATGTGGACTATTTTTTTGAGATGGAGGGAGTATTATACACACGAAGGAGAGATGAATAAAACTATGCAAAACCGCGTAATAGATAGATGCATGTACGATATCTCGAAAGATTATGATTACAAAGGCATCATAATTTTGCTCGATCAGTAATTAATCAATAATGTAAGAATAAATAAATCATTAGGAAAAGGATAGATAATGTTTAAAAATTTTTTGTATAGATAATTAACACGTGTTAAGTCCACGGTGAAAGAACAGTTTGAATGACGAAGCTTTCATTGTAGCATAGTCTAAAAGTCGATTTCAACTGAAAATAAAAATGTTTCAAATTTGCATGATGATAAAATTTGGTGGCGGCTAGCTATAGTTATGTCCCACATGAAATTAAATTTGAAACTAACAATAAACACAAAAAGGAAAAATATAATAATCAGGCTAAAAAAGATTACTCTCATGGTCAAAATTCTGTCCAAGTACTACATCTATTGCACGGGACTGTGAGAAATTTAGACAGGGAAGTGGTTTGGCTGTCGTTAGAACAATCTATTTAAAAAATGTCGAGTATATACTTAGTGACAGAACTAATCCCGAACATTCGCAGAGTCGATCATAACTAGAATTTTTTTCTAAAAATTATATAAAAAATTTAAGGTATTTTTTAAAAAAATTGCCGACCGCAGGGTCGACGAACCTTCTTTGCTCCCCTAGATCATAACTATCCATGTTAAATTTTTGTTTTTAATATAATCTATATTAAAAAAATCGCAATTATACAATCATTTCTGGAGGTAGGAGCATCATTTTACTTGGCAAAATTGACAAAAGATTAAAAGAGCACTCTTCCTTCGAAATGATCATCATTTTTCCTACTTAGCTTCTTTTCCATATGGAGTGAGTTTGGTAACTTGAGGCGAGGAATGAGAAATTGATTCCTATTAGAATATTGGGAAAACACATGAAACCATTTTCATCATTGCTTATAATTTTTCGCGTAAGAAATCAATAAATTTGTAAGCACAATTGGTCATTCTGCTAGAATACAAAACCAGTTAGGTCAGCGTGATGGGGAGAGATGAATTCATGTAGACACAATATTACATATGAATATTGAGTCAAACAATTTGAGTTCAACGACTCCGTTGTAATAAAGAGGGTTCAATACTTATCACCGACAATTAATCTTCATATCGTGTCACTTGTAGCTGGCAATATTGAAACATGTAACAGCTTTCTCAGTTAGTCATTGCCTTCCTCATTATAACTGCACATCCTGCTCCCAAAATAACATAAATTTATCTTGTTAAGAAAAGAAAAACTAACAATATTGACTTTCCATCAAAATGTTGGAAAATTCCAAGAATTCATTTCATACGGGAAATTGAGGATCAGTACAAATAACATATAGTTACAAAACAAAATACAGATAGCTAGAATCCAATTCATCATATGTATATTCTGACTTTGACCAAGAATAAAACTAGTGGTCAACGGCTAATTAACCAAAAGTTTTGTCCCATACCAAAGTAATAAATTATGAAGTCAATACGAAAATTTCATCGAAAATTCTAAATTGGTCACCGTTCTACATTATTAATAATGCGCACATACATCTCCGATTAAAAATTTTTACAAAATAAAAGTATATCTTTAATTTTTCGATTGGGAAAATAGTAGTAGTAAAAAATTACAACTTTTAGGGGTGGATTTATCAATAATAACGGAGTAAAGTGGGAGTTGGAGAAGGTAAAAGTTAATTTAATGTTGTTGAGTGTTTGACTTTGACCATTGGAATCGGCGGTATTTAGCTTGTCGGAGAAGAGCCTAATTACTTGAAAGAAAAGAAGGCTACGTTGAATTCCTGACGTCGATATTACATCACCAATTGCTGCCATTTTGTCAGCCATTTGGACCACTCTTTTTTCCTCCATTTTTCTTTTGTTCCCTTCTTTTGATTTATTTTCACTAGTTATTTTGTTATAATTTTTTTTTTTGTTATAAGTTTTTGTAATTTTGTTATAAACTAGTTGTAGTGAATGATGTGATATATATAAATTCTGACACGTAATTATAATATTATTTACACTAAAAAAATACTAGGAAGTAAATGTGAAACGCTTTTGTTGATTCATGTTTGAGAGGGTAGGAAAATCAAATCATTATCGTAGTTACCAAATTATCATGAGAATATGTATCCTAAATTCCAATCATGTTGTAGACCATACTATTATCATACCTTAAAAAGGTCGAGGGCTCTTTTTTTTTTCTTTTTCTTTTTATTTCCTTGAAGCTACCAAGTTCTTGAAATTGAGGCATGCATCACAAACTTGAGGAAGCATTTCACACTAGATAACTCGTACTCCCTCCGGTCCTTATCATAAGGCAATTTGATTTTGTTCTGAGTTTCATATAGTATGTCTTTTTAATTAAAATAAAAACTTTAAAAACATTTCATAATAATTAGGAGAACACTACGAATATGAAAATATATTTTTTAGATTTTCTTCTAATTAAAAAGACATCATAGTTTAAACTTAGCACGAAATCAAAATGCTTTATAATAAGGACCGAAGGAAGTATTTACTAAAATTGTGGTGACTGTGTGTTTCAATTAATTGAAATCAACGTATAAAATATTTTTTTTTTTTTTGTAATGCAACTGCCAATATATTGGAAGTTCAATAACTCGATTTTAAAAAATTTTCTATTATAGATACAAATCAAAGAAATATGCAAATCGTCCATCTAAAGATTAATTACAAATAATGTAACGAATATTCTCTCATCTATACTTTATGATTAAACCACAACCAAATTCAGTAATTTTATATAAACAATTCATAAGTTATAGAGCCTCATTAATTACTCATCAGGCACTAATAATATTTATTTAATGAACATCCTTGTTCTCCAATTAAGAACTTTCAGTTCAATAATTTTGTATCAGTTCTTTTTATCTTCACTCTTTTTCTTTTTTTGGTTGCCAAAACTTAGAAAAAAAAGAAGTAAAAATCACAAAAAATAAGGAAAAGTAAAAATTCCGAGGCACACGAGCCGAAGTTTTTTTTTTTCTTTTCACCCTTTTCCCATTCCACGTGTAACCGGGAACCCGTTCACACCCGTATCCGGTTCCCGGTTTAGTCAGTATGAAAGAGCCGATTGAAAATTCACCGAGCCGAACCGTGTTGTGGGTATGGGCGGTCCGTCCTTTTTTAAGCTTGAGGAGGCATTTATTATGGCCAACACTGGTTTTGTGTAATCTATATTCACTGTATATTCCGTACAACTACCATTTAATATGGTCGACTTGGGGGACCGGTTTTCATTTGGAGTTTAAATCATATTCATACATATAAAAGTTAAATAAATTCTATATAACGAAATATATCATTGTACGCTTTCAGTCATTAGTTAGTTCTCGTGTTATTATTCAATTACTTAGCATGTTTACTAAACCATGAAACGTATAGAATTGCAAAAATCATTTGCTAATAGTTTGTTTTCACTGAAACTGGTAAAAAAACGTAAAATACAAACTATAATAGTATGATTATGTAATCTTCTCATTTACTATTATTTATTAATTATCATAGTGTAATAATAGTCATGCTTTTTTTCAAGATATGACTATAAATATAAATGATTAGAGAATCATGCAATTTCATAGTAAGTAAATTGAACTAAATTATTATGTTGAAAGTGTTAAAAATTGGTAACAAGAGTAGACTAGTAGTAAATGGCTATGGTCTATATAAAGGGGGAGGGAAGAGTATGAACTTAGAATTTGTAATCCCACAAAGTGAGAAACCAAATTGTGCGGCCCGCTGTCCCCACCACCTCCCTCAAAAAAAACACACAGTCACACACTGGAGGGAAAATTCCACCGGTATTTTCCAGTCAAAACTGCCTTACATTACATACCTCAAAATCTCCAGGTGGATTTGTGAAATTATAAATACCGCCAACCTGTTTTTCTTTTACTATTTTATTTTCTCTTCCATTTTTAAAAAAAAAAAAAAAAATCTGAAATTCATGAGCAGTTCACAAGTTCACACTTAATTACATAAGCCCAAAAAGCATTCACATCAAAAAGGAAGAAAACTCCATTCTCTCTCTCTCTCTCTTTCTCTCTTTTTCTTCTCTTCCATTCCATCATCCCTTTCTCTCTCACTTTTTGTCTCAACAAGCAAGTGAGAAAGAACACACAGTACACAGTCACTAGGTGGGAAAAGGAAAGAAAAACCCAGAAAGCTTTTGCTTGCTTGATGTGATGAGTTTGGTTTTGAGATGACTGATAATCTGTATTCTCATTTCATTTCTCTTTGTTGGGATTGTGTTTTTCTTTTTTTTGAAATGAAACAGAAAGATTAATTAGTCCTTTTTTTTGGTTGTGGGTTTTTTTTTTTTATTTTTTTTATGGAGAAGAATTTTGTTGGGGGAAAAGGAGAAGAGAATTCAACAACTAATAATAATAAATCTTCAATGGCCCAATCTTCCATTTTTCCCGATCAGATTCCGACCACCTTCTTTAATTCTTCTTCTTCTTCTTCGGCTTCTATTAATTCTTTATTACTACCTAATGACCACCTCTTTGACATCCCATCATCAACAACTTCTTCATCGTCATCGTTTCATCAAATCCCCCATCTTCATCATCATTCCGCCACCGCCGACGGCGGCGATGGTGGCGGAGGAGGGACGGGGCTTGGCGGCGTAGGCTCGATGGGCTTTCTTGATATGCTATCCATCCAAGACTACACTAATTACTCCTCCATTTTCGACATGTTTCAGACAGCACCGCCGCCCCCGCCGCCGCCGCAGCAGCAGCAGCAACAGCTTCACCACCACCAACAACAGCACCGTTTTCAGTCGCTTCCGCCACTACCTCCGCCACCGCCACCGCCAGTACTCCCAATAATGACTAACAGTACTAACAGTGGTCCGGCGGAGTCATCTGATCAGGCGGTGACAACTCCGGCGACCCCTCATTCGTCGTCGATTTCCTCCACCTCCAGTGAAGCCCAAAATGATGATCAACAACAGCAGAACAGAGGAGACGGTGAAGAAGGGGAGGATCAAGATAAGACTAAGAAACAGTACGTTTTCATTTCCTATTCATTTCCTCAATTTTTCTTTTATTTAAATTTTTATAGATATTATAAACATTTTTACATTTATATTCACCAAGGTATCAACGTACAATCTTTTTGGGATTTCATGGCATAAAAAGTAATAATGATTTCATTCAAACAAAATCAAAACCCACAAAAGATTTTATTAAAAGCTTTATGCATGATCTATAAAAAATAAAAATAAAAAAAAAACCCCACAGGAGATTTGATACTTTTTTAAAAAAATTTGGGATTTATTAATCCTGATCACCTCTTTCCTTGATGTAAAAGTGTTTGCGTGTTTGAGTTTTTCTTTTCTTTTCTTTCTTTTTGTTTATTCCCTTTTTGGTTGGGGTTTTGGTTTGTTAAAAAAAAACATTTATATTAATTTAATGGCGGGATTGAATTTTTGATTTTTTTTTTATTTTCAGATTAAAACCCAAAAAGAAGAACCAGAAAAGGCCAAGGCAGCCGAGATTTGCGTTCATGACGAAGAGTGAAGTTGATCACTTGGATGATGGCTTTAGATGGAGAAAATACGGCCAAAAAGCTGTTAAAAACAGCCCTTTTCCCAGGTAATTAAATTCACCATTACTTTTTCTTTAATCAATTTTCATTCTATCATTATGTATCTGCTTAATATATGCTGCATTGGTTGGTTCTACTCATTTTGACCTAACAAATTCACCAAAAGTTTGCACCTTTTTGATCATACAAACATCGATTTGATTTAACATTGTGGATTCAAACTTAAAAAGTTGTCATTGTTTGGATGTTAATAGGAGCTATTACCGTTGCACTAGTCCGTCCTGTGGGGTGAAAAAGAGGGTGGAGAGGTCTTCCGATGATCCGTCGACGGTGGTGACAACTTATGAAGGCACACACATTCATCCTCTGCCTGTTACAACCCGCGGAAACCTCGGTTTAATCTTGCCGGAAACCGCCAACAACAACACCGGTGGCGGTGGTGCTACTGCTTCTTTCCTTGGAGGTGGCGGTGGTGAAGGAGGAGGAGGGCCGTCGGCGTTCTTCCTTCCACCACCTATCTCTTATACTCAACAAATGCAGCAACAGCAACAGCAGCAACAGGGTTTTTTCCAAGATCCAACGTTGTCGATGACAATGCCGATGCCGCCGCCGCTGAGCTATAACTTCGGCCATACTACTGATCTTCAGCAGCATTTGATGATGCCTTCAGCTTCTTCATCTTCTGGTGTTTCAACCTCTGTGGGTATGGTTTCCGGTGTTTCTTCTTCTTCTCAATACATGATGATGGATAATGGACTTCTTGAAGATATTCTGCCATCCCAGATGTTTCTCAAGGAGCCTAAGAAAGAGTAGATGATCAAGGGGAATGCTAATTACAAGTGACCTATTTTAATTGAAGAGGGTATGGTTTTTGGTTAATGATGATGAATATCATAGCTTATATTACAAAAGAAAAAAAAAACTGACTAGCTATAATGTTCTTTAGTTTTTTTGTTTTTTGGAGGGTTTTGATCTTTAAATTTGAACCCTTGTTAATCGTTTTTCTAGTTCAGTTATAGGAGTATTTTGATCCATCTAGAGTACTATGATCTCTGATTTTCACCAATGTAAAATGAACGAGACTTTAGATTCAAGCTTTAAATGTAGTTCTAGTTTATTAGCAATAGCTAGTTCTTCTTCTTCTTCCTTTCTCCCATTAGGTTTATCAGCTAGTCAAACGTTATGTACTTAACTGCTTGGAGCTAGTTTCTCTTATCCAATGGGAGATTTTTCTTTTAGATCTTTTTGTATATTCCTTGGCATGTTAGTGTTATTGTCTCATTTCTTATTTCTTCCATCTTTCCTTTGATTTTTCTTGTATATGTAATTGCATGCACTTGCAATTTTGATGGTCAAAACATTCACATGTGGTTACGTGTATATGGTAATGTTTGTCGAACTAAGTAGTTACCTAGGGTTAGTTTAGTTGACCGTACGTGCATTTTGGTGAAGATATATATTAAAAGTAAGTCATTTGCATGCTGCTAGATATGCATATACGACTTTTTTTTGGTCATGGAGGGAATTAACATCGGGAGTATAATTACGACTCTTGGTCCTTGGATACGGGCAGTTTGGACGCAAGTTGGAAGTTGATCCGATATTCGATCTTCGAAGGGAAATGAATCGTCTCAAGTCTTAATTTGTTTTACATTAGAGTATTCATCTCAGAAAAAAAGTTATTATTTTTGTTAAATTAAAACAATACAACAAGCACTGATTTCATTGTTGGCGAAGAGAATAGTGTAATTCTGCCTACAAGCGAAACTTGTATTTGTCGGTCCAAAGTCCGGATTTTGATTTTAATTGATTTAATAATCGTCTAAAACATTCTTACGTCTTAGCTTTTGTGTTTGATCCTAATAACTCAATAAAAAATTTAGTTGTTTTTATAATACACATGATAGTACGTATAGTAAGTACTACTATGTAGATATCGTGTATTGGAATTTATGTATATTGATAAACTTTTTCATACGTGTATCGAATATGCATCTCCGCGGACATTTCACACTATCTTTGTTCCCCTAAATGATCATTTTAGGAGTTGCATCCCATATGTTATGCTGCCTCTATCTAGCAACCTCCCATAATATGTTTTGACACTAGACATATATGTATCTTTCGTTGGTTCATTTCTGCTAGAGGAATATCATAGGAACTAGCTAGGGTTTCAACATATAAGCGTTCATGATCGTGCAATATAGGAATATAGGCTCCCATACTAATGGCAATGCCCTTTGATTTCAATACCAAACCACTAGCATATATATCTACAAAATACGTACTCCAAAAAGTGGATGCAAAAAGAGGGCATGGAAATATAAAATGGATATGATATTTTGGTGGAGATCAATATTAGGGTATTCCTCATCGAAAATATTTTTTTTCACTTTTTTTTTTTTGTGTGTGATGTCTAAAGTACAAAAATCTTGCCTAGGGGAGCTAGGTCATGTACCCACCAAATGGGGTTGGAAGGTCTTTTTCCATATGACATTGTCTTGTGCTTTGGGACGTCAAGTTCAATTGAATGCACCTTCTACTTCTAGCCATGCATGATTTATTCCCAAAGTTATGTACACAACACGTTAAATCAAACCAAGATGCAACCTTTGCAGTTTCAATGATCGATCTTTTTCCCCCCATCCTCTATATCTATAAAAAAAAAAAATATTAAAATAAATAAAACTCCATCTTTTCTCTTTTTCTTTTTCGAATACTAAAAATCTGCCAAGATATATCTTACATGGAAAAACTACTTCCATTGGATTTCTTGCTTAAGTGGAGGAGATTGGACGAGTTAGAAAAAAAGTAGTATAGATTCTTAAAATACATGGACCACTGAAAAAAATGATCACATCTTTGGATTTGAGAGGAACATGCTCAAATTTTGCCTTTTTGTAACTTGTTTTGTTACTAAAATGGAACTAATTAGACGTCAACCCTAAGTTTAGTTAATTAGGTTTCGATGTATATGGTGAACTTATAGTTCTAATTTAGGGCACTCCAACTCGATGTTTTAAGGAAAAACTACGGTGCTTTTCGAACCTGTTTGGATACTGATCACTGCTAAATTTTCTTGGGATTTGGTTAATTAGGGTTTCAGAAAGAGATTTGTATATTGATTGTAGTGCTAGCAAAACTCTATATTATTTAGGTCCTTTGTTAGAGATTATCCTTGGAGCTTTGAGCTGGAAACAATTATATGAGAGGAATCAGAATTCCAGGAGGAAAAAAAAAAGAAGATGTACTGTATTAACACATTGTGTATATATGCATGAAAAATATTCTCTGTTGTCAGCACTAATTTTTTTTTTGCAATATACTCATATAGCTGGAAAAATTATTTGATTCCCATCATTATTTCTTCAACTCCTTTTTTCCGGCTAGATCTAACATTATATATAGTGGGGTTTCCTGTTTATTTTTCGTCTTTTTGCCTTTTTTTTTTTTGGGGGTTTCCATGATTTGATGCACTTAAGATATATATATTATTGTGGAGGATACGTAATTTACGTGAAAGAAACTTGTGAAGAAAGTAAAAATTTTCACGACATTTTCGGAGGCAAATTAGTCAAAAAAGTAGAGATCCTTCGGGGAGGTCAGTTGCCAAAAAATGACACTAATGAATTTAATTAATGATTTTCGACCAATTAATTCATTTTGGTAATTGCAAAAAAACCCTTAGAAAATCCAAAATATTAGTGGGACGACACATTCTTACGAAGTTATATCATGCAATGGGTTTGAATTAACGTACGTATCTACGTGCTACATATATATACATGCAACAAACCTTAAAATTTCCACATATCTTCTAAATCGATGATTTATATGAGTTTTAGTCACATTAGTACTCTCTCTGTCTCAAAATTATTGTCTGATTTCACTTTTAGTACAATTTGAACTAGAAATGAAAATTTAAACAGGACAATAATTATGAGACGGAGGGAGTAATTTATTTCAACAAACTAAATTTCATTCTTAGATTTGACAAAATCAGTTTATATGTTTGTTCGAAAAGAAACAACAACATCAAAGCGCTTTGGAGAAAGTAGGTTTGTTTAGTATCATCTGGAAATGAATAGACAAAATTAAAGAAGAAAACACGTGAAAGAACAAAGTTAATGAAAATGGCATACACAACAAGGACCGAAGCCAATTTAAAACACTATAGCAATCAGCCTAAATCAGTGGAGAAAATCTTTATTTTTAATGATGCTTTAACAAATTCCAGGGGTCATTGCAATAACTTCTTCATGATATGTGTACATTGAGGGGAGCACAAACAATCAATCTCATCCATTTGGTCTTTATACTATGGCAAAAAAAACAAATTAAAACGTATACTCTCTCTGTCCGAAAATAATTTTAGAGAAGGAAGTGAAACGGAAACATCCTATTACGAGTTGTTCGTATGATTGAAACATCCGATTTATATAAACCCTACATGTGTGTTATAAACCCATAATATTGGAGACACTGAAGCCAGAAGCGGCATGATCACGTGTATTGCTCTCCGTTTCCTGGCTCAACTTAGTTATTCTTGCTTCTTTCTTTCTTTTTTTCTTTTTTTTGGTTGGCTTGATTCTTGTGTCTTGATCATTATTTCTTACTATTAGAAGACTATACTAACTGAGATGGGAATTGATAGGATTGCAATCGGCTGTTTGATGGCCCATATATATCCCTCCTTTTCCTAGTTTGGCTTCTTTCGTTTTCTTTTTGTCGAATAATTCCCCTTTGGCAATTTGGATTGGTCTCTCCAATTCAAAAAAATTTTCAGTTATTCAATCAAGAATAATTAGATTTAACTAGTCAAAATTAGTTACAATGTGAACAACTCTTTCACAATCTCCTCGACCATTTTTATCTTTTGGTTACTCAGTTCCAAGTTTTTGCTTCCTTTCTCGACCCTCCTCTCATTCACAATTGCAAATCTCTAAGATGAGATCAATTACAAAAGGAATACAATTTTATTTATTTATTTTTTTAAAAAAAAAGGGGGAGTAAAGAAGTGAGTATAATGTAATTATGTTGTGAACTTGTAATTAGATTGATACTTTGCAAGATTTCACCGCAAAGCAGATTGAAACACTAATTCAAAGTATTTGAGTGATTTACCTAATTTCCGTTCATTCTACTACTTTTCCCTGTATCTCAATTACTATTTCATCTGTTCCAAAATTATTGTCTAATTTAAGATTTTACTTTTGATACAATTTGAACTAAAAATGAAAATTCAAACTGGACAATACTTTTGGGACTACGGAAGTACTACAAAATTAAGACATCAAACAACTTAATTATATATGGCAGTTACATTATAGAACTTGTGAAAATGAAGCAAAGAACAAGTCCATTGCTCTGATGTCACGTTTTTGTAGATTTAGAATATGAACATCATCAAAGTATTATTATTCCTAAGCTTACCGACCGCATCTATAAAAACTAAGATATCAGAACTATAGAACAGAAAGCCAATTGATGTGAGTTTGATGACATAAGAAAGAATCCTCAAAAGGCAGGTCTTGATCACATGGCATTAGGTTTTTCATCAGAGTAACAAAATCAACTGACTCTTTCTTCAGGCTTGACTGCTTCTCATTCCTAACCACTATGCACGAAGATCTTGTTGATTTCTTTGCCTTTAAAAATGCTGTTTATAAAGCAGCATTGGAATTGTTTAATTCACTTGGCGAGTTTCAATTGTTTGTTTCCATCGAATCTGAAGTTCAAAAATGGCAATGTTGTACTTTGGTTTATACTTGCTCTTTTCATCACTAGCATTTGCAAGAGTTTCCACCACATCCAATGAAGAATGCTTTGATGGTTCCACTTCCTTAGTCTTAACCTTTGATCTCTATCAAAACAGCTGCCCTGAGGCAGAACCCATTGTCTTCTCATGGGTTGCAAAGTCGGTTTCGGATGACCCCAGAATGGCTGCTTCTTTGCTTCGCCTCCATTTCCATGACTGCTTTGTGAATGCAAGTCCTTTCCTAATCCCCTTTTGAATTGTTTTGTTTCAACTATAAACGTTACGTAACCATTTCATGTTTGAAATTTACAGGGATGTGATGCTTCAGTGTTGTTAGACGATACACCGACTTTTACAGGAGAAAAAACTGCAGCTCCAAACCTCAATTCTCTCAGAGGATTTGAAGTCATAGATGCCATCAAAAATGATCTTGAATATTTCTGCCCTGAAACTGTCTCTTGTGCTGATATTCTAGCTATTGCAGCAAGAGATTCAGTCGTTCTGGTAATGCATAATGAACCTCAAAATGATAACATTTCTCACTTTAATCTTCTGATTTAACTTAGTTTCGGGTACAATATGCAGTCAGGAGGGAAAGGTTGGGAAGTTCAGATGGGAAGAAAGGACAGCTTAAGTGCTAACAAAACCGCAGCAAACAACAACATCCCAGCTCCGAATTCTGATGTTCCGACACTCGTTTCCAAGTTCCAGAACGTCGGCCTTTCGCTTGAAGACATGGTCACTCTCTCAGGTAAACCTTAAAGGAATGCTCCAAAATTTTCATCAAAAACTGAAATTTGAACTTAGTTTCTGAGTGTTGAGCTTGTTCAATTTGCCCAGGTGCTCATACTCTAGGGAAAGCAAGGTGTGCTACTTTCAGTTCTCGCCTAAACGGGAACAGCAATGCGAATGAAGCACCGGATATCAACCTAGAATTCATTCAGTCACTCCAGCAACTATGTTCAGGGGATGCAAATGCTACACTGGCAAATCTTGATGTCAAGACACCTTCCGCGTTTGATAATCAGTACTACATGAACCTACTTTCCGGGGAGGGTTTATTGACATCGGATCAAGTTCTTGTCAGTGGCGATGGCCGAACAAGAGAGTTAGTTGAAACCTACGTGGATGACCAGGCGGTCTTCCTGGAAGATTTCAAGAATGCAATGCTGAGAATGGGAAGCATATTACCTGCGGCTGGAGAAAGCGGCGAAATTCGCAGAAACTGTAGGGCTGCTAATCAAATTAATTGATCAGTACCACTAAATAAGATGTAGCTGTTTACCTAAGGAAAAAATTTATGTTCTAAGCAGGCTAAACTTAATCTAAGAACCGATGATATCCAGCAAAACACTTTATTCTTGGTGTTTGGTACTACCTTAGTATACCAACCTATTGCATACTGACAACTTTAAACACACGGAATAATGCGAGGAACAAGGAGAGACAGACGAATGATAACCAAGGAAAAAAAAAAAACAGCCGCAATGTTGAACCTTCCCCTTTGCAACAAATATTACAATTACACTTTCAACTGCGACTCAATGTACATTGTTGCATCATTACTTCCTCAGCATATTAGTACAATCCATCGGGAAGTAACAGAACACATTTTTCTGATGATTTAAGCTACATTTCATCTTTTCTTCTCCTGCGTCACTTAGTCTGGGACTATTTCCAATGAAGCACTAGCTAATTTGTCATCAAAGATTTTTTTTATGTCCCTGTCAATAAATTCCACCAACATTTATTAACTCTGAAAGGAAGCAGGATACATTGACAACATTTAGACATTAAAAGGTAAATATTAGTTCCTACAAATAAAAACGACATCAAAGGAAAGAGATCTCATGACAACCTGAAGGCTTGTTCTTCCACATCCAATCCTCGCCAGGCTGCTGAACCTGAGAGCAACAAAGAAAAAAAAAAAATCAGAATTAGAAGAAAGAAGTGAAAGGAAAAAACAGCTACACCTAAGATGCAAGCAAATTCTACCTGCTGGTATCGTCCCGGATCGTTCATGGATTTTGAAACACCTCCGATAGGAAGCTGCGGGTATCTAAATTCCTGAAATCACATACAATCAAAGATTTAACCAACAGTTAGAAGTTTCCATGTTAACAATTCTAAGGCCACATTTTCCCTACATCCATTTTACTGGGTTTTTCATTTAGATTTTTTTCTTTTAGATTCTTCTTCTTTTTTTTGGGGGGTGGTGGTTGGGGAGGAAGTTTTCTCCATATCTGCCCAGACAAAACTAAAAGTAATCCGTCTTAAGCAACAAAAGATTACCTGAATGGTTTGGTGACCTATAACTCCAGTACCCTGATGCTGGAAAATGAAAATCAAAGGTAAGCAAGGAATCATTGAAATTATGAAACTGCTAAAGTTGTAGCATAACTGACCGGTAAAGGTTGGGAAGGCTGTTGCAATGGTGGAAGGTGATTCTGAGCCTGATTCTGGGGTGGTAGTTGCGTCTGAATATAATTTTGGACCTGAGTTGGTTTCTGAGGAACACCATGAACAGACTGATTCTGGGATGGTACCTGTGTCTGAGTATAATTTTGGACCTGAGTTGGTTTCTGAGGAACACCATGAACAGACAGATTGGCTGGTAATTGTGTCTGACTATAATTTTGGACCTGCGTCGGTCTCTGAGGAACACTATGAACAGTCTGACCCTGAGAATGTTGCTCCTGAAAATATTGGATAAAGGGAGGCTTCTGTTGCTGTTGTTGCTCGTATATTGCAACTTCCTCAGGCTTTTCCCACTACAAACCCACCATACAGAGACAGCTTCAGACCTTTGGGAGGAATAAAGGGAATACTACCAACAAGGCATTGTATAAGTAATGAGAAACTTACTTTGCTTTCACCAGTTGTACTGTTGTAATAATACTTGTAACCATCAGGGGAGATGTGCTCTGTCCAATTACATTTGCCTGGAGCAACACCTCTGTTTATGGAAGGAGTTGCAGTAACTAGGTTAGCTGATAGAGCAGTAGATGGCTCCATTCTTGGTTGACCACCAGAAGCATTCCCTACAGTTTGAGGAGCAGTACCAGCCCAAGGAGCCTATACAAAGAGACAAAATAATCCTCACTACATCCTTTACTTTAACCATAAAACAACTACTTTAGGCTTCTCATAATAAACCTTTTTGTGTCATACTAAGAGTTGAAACATGGGTAGAAAAAACTAGGATGGTTGAGGGTTATCAATTGAGGATGCAACAGAAAAGCTACGAAGTTTTTCCTTTCTTGAAATATCGGGCAGGCACAACCAGTATGTGAAAACAACCATACCTGCTGTTTATTAGGCTGCACTCCCTGTTGTGATATTGAAACCTGATTCGATGGCTGAATCAACGGGAGTTGTTGCTGAAGTTGAGAGAATGCTTGTTGTGATGATTGAAAGCTCGCCTGTACTGTTTGAGTCTGTTGTGACAACTGACCTAGCTGAGAAGGTGATTGCTGCGAAGGTTGTTGAAATGATTGCTGTGGAGGTTGTTGAAATGATTGCTGCGGAGGTGGCAACTGCTGTTTATTTACTACAGCTAAAGCAGTACCTGGATGTAAATTACTCATTGAACCTTGTCTTCGTACAGATGATGCATTCAATTGTGCCTGGGCTTGAGAAACGGAAAACTGCCTGCCTGAATCAATCGACTGTTGTTGGGGCAAAGCCTGATTCGAAGTTTGCCCAGTTGATTCAGGGATTTGTACTTGATCACTACCTGGTCGGGGTCCTAATGGATGAGAAACTGGTCGTTGGACAAACGATGGCACATTTGGTGGTTGTAGCTGAAGGGAAGATGGCAACTGGGTCTGTGACTGAAGTGAATTCTGCATCGGGGATATTTGCTGGCCGGCCACTGGAGGCATCGACTGGCCATAGTTCTAGAGCAGTTGGAAAAGACAACTAATAAAGACTTGTGACATGAAATGGGAAAACAAAAAACAAGGCCAAAGTTCAATTTACTAACCAATGGTCTCGTTGAAGAGGAAGAAACCACATATCCGGGAAGTGAAGAGCTGGTGGTACAACGAACACTGCTGCCATTGATGCTCCCCTGGAAGCTCAATCATTAAAACTAAGTCGTTAACTAATTTGTTTGCTTTATCTACAAAATATGTTAAATTCAATAACTACTGATTCAAATTCGAGGTACATCAAATATATGGGGATCCAACTATTCTGAAGGATCAGAATATGACAGATGCCAAGAATGGTATCACAAAAGACATGACATCAAACAATACATTAATGCTTACCGGCATTGAGACCACAGGCGTATCAGCAGGTCTAGGCTGGAATTGGTTTCCAAAACCATGCAATGGGGAAGGCCCGGGTTTTTGGGGACTCATGGGCTGCAAGGCATTCGCTGGAAATCGATCTTGCATAGGCTCACCAAGCATTACTGGGGGTCTGTACAAAACATAGTCCGTACTTAGCCAAGAGTAAATAGTTTGAAAATCAACAGAAACGGTAATAACAAGGAGATAACCTGATTCCTGGTGGTGGTGGAAGCCGAGGACCCATACCAGGCCCGCGAAAAGGAGCATCTCCTCTGGAAAGCACAAAACTAAGTCATGAAAAAGCACAAGTAAAGGGCGCTATATATTCATGAAAAAAAAATTATGAAGATCAACCACATGATTATCAGTGTCCATCTAATGCACCACACAGCAGTTAATACATACATTTAGAAACTAGAGATTCCATGTATCTAAACAAGAAGAGAAGGTGAATAATGAAGAAAGGCTCAAACATGAATAGTGACAACCTTGATTCACCAAGTCTTGGCCTCTTCGGATCAGCGAATCGAACTGTTATTGGATGATCACATCCCTATCATGTGGAAGTATCACATTACATAAATGAAGTGCTGCAACTACAGTTCACAGTTACCATACATAACTAAGTTCGTATCTTACTCTCATTGTGTATCTTCCACTAAGAGCATTTATAGCAGCCATTGCCATCTCTCTGCATGAATATTTGACAAACCCACATCCTGCAGAACAGTGAGGCACACATATTGGTGACTGAAAATAAAAGGAGAAGCAAAACGAAAGGTCATTACTTTTAACATTCACGCTGATAAACTTCTAAAACTCAGAAGAAGCATGCAGATACATCAGGTACCCTACAGTTAATATTGACCAGCATAACATGGGGATTCATGTGATAACCTGGAAAAAGAATTACAATCTTCTTTAAATTTCCACGCATTTTGAAATCTATAACATGCAAAAGATAACTGGTTCAATCTCTAGATTCAAAGGGGGAGTTAAGAACAGTATCATCTTTGGAAAACTTATCGAGTAAATCAGTATCATCTTTGGAAAACTTATCGAGGAAATCTTAATGGCATTTAAGATAAAGTATATAAAATTGACAAGAAGGCAAACTAACCACGACTCTGCTTCATTTCGTCACGCATGAGATAGACATCTTCAACTCGACCATATGGGGCAAAAATCTGGAAGCCAGATGACAAAGTAAGATAAATTATTCTGCCACTTTCATAAGAGAGAAACCACACAAATATTGTTTCACTGGGACATAACCAAGCCTGATTGTGCGGCTACATTAAGTCAAAAAAAAATATAGATCCACAAGTGCAATTCAAAAAGGTAACATCTTGTCACTACGTAGAGAGACTAACAATGTGAAACCTAGAAGGCATGACTAAGGCACGCCAAAGGCCATGTAAAGCACATGTAACAGAAAAACATGACAGGCAAGGAAGAAAAACAAAACAACCCAGACACCCCTAGAGATATAGAGGGAAGGTATCCTTAATACTATGTCCACAAAAGCGAAAAGAAGTCACTAATTACCTTCCCCCTCTTCTTTCAAACAAAACAAAAACTAAGAGAAAATATAAAGCATATGAGAAACATACTTCTTCAACTTCCTTCTCAGTAGCATGCTTGTTTAAAGATCCCACAAATAACTTGAACTCTGCTGTACCTGGTTTAGAAGTAGACAGTAAATAGTAAATTACAGTGTGGCTTTATACAGATGATAAATAGCCAGTTAATCAGAAGAGAAACTCATAAAATCCAAAGTACTGATACTGAATAAATAAAAAGCATAAAAAAGTCATTTCAATTAGTTACCTAGACGTTCTCGCTCCCCATCAGCATATCTAACTTGTATTGGACCCACTCCCTGAAAAAAGACAAGTAGTCAAAATCTAATGTAAGATCAAACCGAAAAAACACCCGCAAAGTTATACCCCGGGTAATGTATACTGATTGTGCAGCATTCTTATGGCTCTGTCCGCTTCTTGAGATGTACCATACTTGATAAAACAACATCCTGCAAATAAAAAAAGAAAAAAAGGTTGTGCTCTGATTTTATTACTGAGTCCTCTCACTGGAAATTCTAGGCCATAAACAATTAAATAATAATAAAACAGAAATGCAAGCACAAAACATGATGAATCCCATTGCACATCTGCATAATGGAAATCAAGATCAAAGCATTTAACTACAGGATCAGCAAATGGCTTCTAAAGGGACAAGAAATGACGCGCAAAAGTCATCCTCACCACACTCATCGTAAATCTTAATTCAAGCATAATGGCCACGAGACCGAAGTAATGAAATAGAAACAAATATGAAAACAGAAACGCTTGTCGAGATTAAATATGTAAATAAACAACACAGTAGATACATAGTAAACAAGAAAGAGACAGGTCGCGACAACTATGAAACCGTTTGGGTAAAGATCACCCACAAGTGCCACTTAATAACACAGGGGATCTGTGAAACTATACATTACTGTCTTACTACATCAACAAAAACTGCAGAAATGCCATTGTCAAACAAAAGAAACCAGAAAGTAAATCATCACAAAAACCAATCACCATCTTCTGATAAGATTTGCACAGTTGAGCTAGCACATCCTCTCCCATGATATCATAAGGATCACAACTTAGCTATGCACATCCTGTCTCATGATATCATAAGGATCACAATTTAGCTATGTTATGTGTTCCTTCCGTTCAGTTATGATAGACCAAGAGGCAAAACTGTAGCGTGGTGAGTAAACGAATCACTTGTCGTGCTCGTAATATCATCTCATACAGGTCTCCTTATATTATCGTGCGAGGGGAAGATTGATCATCCCGAAGTGATACAGATACATGCTCGCGAAACAGGCAACAATATCATTGAAAGCGAAGGAAAAACAACAAATAGAAGCAAAATATGTACAGTGATTCGCCCGAAAAAATACCGAGGAACGTTCCACATTAAGACACGCCACGAGACTCAAAATCAGCCTTGTCCAACGGAGACGGATTAGCACTTTAGTTCATCAGACCAAAACTAATCAGCAAACTAATGAAACATTAACATCTCATCTGTCGCAATCTATTCACATACATACATTCGACTACCAGAAAATTTAACCATGCATACACTCCGCATGACGAGTAGATAAATAGTAATGACATCCAATAACAGAGTTGATAAACATTGGCGAAGGGCAGAATAGCTGTCGTTATACATACAAAACTCAAAAGTTACACACGACTAATATTCAATTGGATGAATAACCTATACCACACCATAAAGTGATCTCACATTCAAAACACATCGCAAAAGAAATAAAGAATTGCTACAGAGCGGTCTTTAAAAGCTCTAAACTGCTTACTTATAACTAATAATCAATAAACCCTCCACACAAATTCTACGAAATTCGCCATCCAAACATATGAAGATCTGAGCTGAAGTCTTCGCCACATGCCGTAATGCATTCACAGAGAACGTGTCGGTAACTGCACTAGCAGCAATTGGCGCGAACAAAGAATTACCCAAAAAAAAACCACTCTTACAACGACTACATATGGACAAGTGGCAGCAGAACTTATCTAACTTGAGACAAATTATAACTAAAACAAATGGTTCACCAGTAAATAACTTGAGTAGAAATCTACAGTTGCAATCAATCACAACTCATTCCATTTATCCAGAACGCCCAAATAAAACACAAGAAAATTTGGGTGGCAAATACAAACCAAGTGCTTACTCATCCAACCAGACAAAAACAAAAAGAAAGTAGCCATTCGCTGTCGCTTGATGTTCTGAACAACCAACCACGTCGTAAACACCGACTAAAACAAAATAATAAAAAGGAAAATATATTTCCTTAGATGTCACCACATAGTTCTCAACATACGGTTTCTATGCACCATAATAATGCACAAGTTAATCATTTCAACATACAGATACAGTAACCAGCATTTTGGTTCAATATAACATATGAGAAGATAGAAAGATCATGCTGACGCCCGACGGAGATTGCCATCAATGATTTGAAAGTAGAAAGACAAAGAAACAGGCATGTCCACGGGAACGGACCCACAGAGACACATCTAATCGGTACTAGTAACTAGACATTTTTGGCAATGAAACCACGAGTGAAAAAACACTTCTCAAAGTATAACAACGCATGGCTGAAAAAAATATTAAAAAGAAAGTGAAAAAACTGCCTACTGTAAGATTTAAATATCAAGTTAATTAACAACACTCCAAACTTAATCTCTCATATTTTCAAATATACCACTGTTCACACATTTTCACAAAGCCAAGAAAGAGCTCTCCATAACCAATTACAACCAAAAAGAAGTCTTGGCTTTCGTCTGACTACAATAGCAAAAATACAAGATGGCACCTCTCAAAAGTCTTAAACTATGCAAACAGGTTAACCACGTGAATTTTGCTCTTCTCTTCACCTCGATTGGCAGAACGAGCGCAAAACACACAGGGCAATGAAAACCACGCAGCAGAAAAACTAACTGAATGAATCATAAGCTTACAGTTGCAACTCAGGAGCTCCTCAAAGAACCTGAAAAGTTAAAACATACAGTAACAGTCTAAAAACATGACAGAGATAATCCCCACATACCTTGCTGTTGCCCGGTTCTTTTATCTCTTATCAAAGCGACCTCCAAAACACGCCCATGCTGGTCAAATGCAGGACGTATCTGAATAATAAATAAATTTACGCACCAGGATCAGTACAGATTAAGTGCGCCAAATAAATTAATTAATAAAATCTTTTACTTAAAGAAAACCCCAAACAGAAACGGTCCAAGCTTGTTTGTGTAGCAAATATGAATAGCAAAACATAGTCAACTTACATCTTCTTCAGTGGCAGTGCGAGGAACAGATCCAACGAATAGTTTTGCAAAGCTGGTTCCATCAGAACGTTCTGAATCAAACGAAAGAAGTGACTAATCAAAATAATAACACACCCAGGTGTGTATAAACATATTGACCAAGAATATACAGCAAAGGGGCACAGCAACAGAAACACACCACACACAACTTCTTAGTAATTTCCTACCATACTAAATAACATATGTTGCCAACCCCAGTGGCAGTTGTACTAGTGATCTCACAAAATCCAAATTAAATGCATCTTACAACCAGCAGGCATTCAGGCTTCATCAAAATACATAACCACATCCTAGGCATATATATGATCCCAATAGATGATACAGTGTACCCAACTCTCATTAATTTGATCAAATCACAAACAACTTCAACAGGCAGAATTTAAGCATTTTAAAAAAATGTAGTTTCACCTGGCGTTGGTGCTACGGGAGGACCTCTTGTATCATCGGGAAACGAGGAAAACCCACGCTTCTGCCCGGACAGCGGAGACATCGCATGAAACCCTTCCCTCCCGACGTCAATGCTGACACGATCGCGGTCGCCGCTACTAATCGGGCGTCCCCATCCAGCGCCATCCGCAGCAGGTGAGGGAGGATAGCGCGACGTCGGCACCGGCACCGGAGCCGGAGGAGGAGGAGGACTATCGAAAGCAGGACGACGGTAATCACGATCACGGTTCCGATCTCGATCTCGATCTCCTCTGCCACCGCCGCGGTAATTATTATTGTTATTATTCATGTAATTGGCCATCGCTGGACGAGGAGGAGGAGGAGGATTGTGATAATTAGGGCTTCGGCGGCGGTCATAAGGATGATAATGCTGGCGGTTATCGGCGGAATCCGGAGACAAAAGCCCAGGCCCAGAGCCACCGGCTCTTGAATACTTACTGCTGTTGAAATGGTGATACGGGTCGGGGCTGCGGCTCCGGTACCGGTCTCCTCCACCGCCTCCTCCTCTGTGCCTATCCATTATTATTTCCTAATACTACAAAAAAATTGAAGAACGAACAAACAAATAAATTGAAAGTGACAAAATCAGACGCAGAGCTCCGAGTGAGAAAGGCATAAAAGATAAAATGGGGGAAGAAAGCGACGACCTTCCGATTATATTTATAGGGATGGGTTTCAAGAATACGTCATTTTCAAGAAGCGAAACAGTGAATTTGGGCTGTTTGGCCCGATTGTGTATTCTGTTGGACAAGAAGTTGGGAGTTGAATGGGTTGGGCTCATTTTGAATGGATCTGGGGAAATGGTTTCTGGGTAGCATTTTTGTAAAAAATTAATTAGTTAATTTATTCGTAGTTTAGTGAAAGTTGAAAAAAAAATGATTTACTTAAGAGAGCCCTCCCTTCTCATCCTTAATTGTGACTAAATAATAGTGTTGCATAATATTCATACAAACATTATAATTGCTATTGTCACAATCATATGATAATCCACAATTAAAAAAAGCCAATTATTATCTCCTGTCAATCAAATAGTGGAATAATCACCAATATTCTCGGAGTTAGAGGTATATATATATGTAGGTTCGTTGGTCATATGATCCATTTATTGCTATAATAATTTTCACAAGCATATGAATATTGTCATCAAGCAATGATTTAAAGTACTATTAGTTTTAAATTAACTATGTTACTCACAATGCGGCACTATCCAAAATTTGATGTGATTTCGAAAACATTATATTGCGTATTCAATAATACTTGTTAGTTGTGTTACACTTTCATTCTGTGTATTGTACAATAGATTTATTAAAAACAAACACAAACCAAAACAACTTGTGAAAAGGTAGGTTTGGTTGGAGTGTTACATTTGCTTTTAGACAGTCAAACACCAATCGTAACTGCCGATCCGATGGAGTACTAATAATGGCGGCCTTAAGTGGTTTTTTAATGGCGGGTTGAAAATCCGTTGTTATTATTATTATTATTATTATTATTATTTTATATTTGTAGGGTGTCCAACAGTGACTAATTCTCGTTGCTGAATTGTAGACACATCGATGAGTGAGACGGCTCAAAATACAACATATTCCACACTGAGGCGGAGCTTTCGTCAATGTCCACAAACAAGGGACAGTGTTAAGGCAACTTGATTTTAAACAAGAGACACAAAAACAAGATCATCAACAAAAAGATTTATAAGGAAAATAATGGACGCTTACATTAAACTCCATTGCGAAAGACCCATTACTTTCATGATTTGATTCTCCATCAATACGTCAATTCCTGCAGAACTTGGGACTAGCAAATAGCACTACAAATAGAGAGAATTATACCATTTGCAATGAGAAAACATTACTTTCAAAATCTCTCATCCTTTTCATCAAAGATACTAGCTACTAGATTAAACCATCAACACCACAAAACCCCACCAAAAGGCTTCCTTACGTGATATTCCCTCCGTCACACAAAAATAGTTCACATTGAATTTTCAAATTCACAAATTTAAAAATAGTTCACATTGAGTTTTCAAATTCACAAATTTAAAAACTCAACGTGAACTATTTTTATGGGACGGAGTTAGTAATAGTTTCGTCCAAAAATCACCAATCACAAAATATAAAAATGTCATATCCAAAACCATGCAAATAGAGCACTATTTCCAAAAAAAGATGTTGATCATCTAAAGGCACTGGAATCATCATGGGATCAAATCTTCACTGCATTAGTAACATCCCTCCGAATCATCATCATCATCATCATAAGGGCCATAAGGATAAGCATTAAAAATATTATAATCATCTTCAAATTCATCATCATCATCATCATCATCATCAGAAACGTCCTCCAAATTATTCCAATTCCAAGCCCACAAATTCTTCCCCAGCATGAAAGAAATAAAAGCATCAACAGCAGCATACTCAATCTGATCCAAACTCAGGCAAAACCCATCCCAATTGCTCCTCCCAACCAATATCTCCTTCTTCAATCCCTTCATTCCCAACTCCCACTCTGCCAATTTCTCCATAGAAACCATCATGCCGTAACCTCTCTTCTCATTGGCCACGTCCACCAAATCAATCAGCCGCGGGACCCACAACTGGTGCCCGGAATTGTACCCCAACATGTCATAATCCCTCTTGTTGTTAACCCCAACGAACGTGATATTCGGGTCGGATAAAAACCGGCGGAGCGAGATTGGGATCCGGTCGGCGTGGGTGAGTTGGAAGATGAGACAGCGGTGGCCGATGCAGAGTTGGAGAGTTGCAGGGGAAGGGTTTCGTCCGGGAGTCCATTGAACTCCGACGCCGACGAGGAGCCGGCCTCGCCGGAGGCGGTGGGTGTGGTAACGGCGCAGCCTGAATAGCCAGTCGCGGACGACGGAGCCGGCGGAAGTAACGGTGGTGTAAATGCAATGGGAGTCGCAGTAAACGATGTTCGTGGCGGCGCTCAGTTGCCGGCGGTGGTAAGGGTTCAGGCGAGGGTGCTGATGAACTTGATTGAGATCAACCCTTGATCGTAACATCATGTTTTGGGCTTTCTGTTGCCGGTTCCCAACTCCGAGCATACTTGAAACCGTTAATTTTTCCCCCTTTTCGTCGGCCGAAGGGAATTACCGGCGGGAGAATTTTTTTCTACAATTTGCAGTTTTCGGAAGCAGGGTGAATTGCGGGGAGTGGTGGGTTGAAGTGACAGGAGGTGACTCTTCCGTGACCCCAAAAGAAAAGATCTGACACGTGTAAGGCGGCGATCACTTTTGGTGATTCGTGAATCGTGCAGAGAGTAAAGAGTGTACAGTAACTTTTTAGCGGATTAGATTTGGTACTTTACGGTATACAGTAAAAAAAAGTCAGTAATTATCTGGCTTGTTTTCCAATAATTCGTCTGATTTTGAGAAATAGGAGTCGTAACTAAACAATATTAAAAGTTGTCAATATTCCTTGCTGAAATCTGAATCAGTATAGTATGATTCAGATGTTGTTGCCTTTCCCCCAAGCTATATCTATGCTCCTCGCTGTCTATATATATACACGAACGGGGCTAGTCTTCGGGAACTAAAAGACAATATAAAGCGCTTCCTTAATTTATTGTACTCCAATTCTCTTAGTAAGTTGTCCAATAATCCAATTCTTTTGAGCTTCAAGATTTCTAGTGATCAATGGAAACCAGAAAAAGAAGATCGATCTGGCATTAATCATGTGTTCGAGAGCCGTTGTAAAAAGTCAAGGATTATTAAAGAGCCCTTAATTCAGCGAGGGTTGTCTCATTTATTTGAGGTGCTTATAATTCAGCGAATGAGGGAATTAATCACGATTGTGTACCGATGACACCATTCAAATATGGAAAAAAAAAGAAAAAAAAGCCCTCAAACAACAAATTAAAGGGAGCAACATGAGTTACGAGTGTTTTTCACTTTTTTGTACCCCAAAAAGAAAGTGTTTTAAAAAACAATCAGCTCTCGACCAAAAAAAGCATAAATCAGCTCAGTTAGAATTTGGGCTGAAAGCTTCTTAAGGTCCAATCCAGTTAAGTGATCCGAATCCAATCACCAATTTTCAATGGCCCCAAATAATTTTGAGTAAGGGGCCCCACAACGAAGAACTCCATGGATGAATTCCCCTGACTCACCTTATCAGAACATCATCAACTCACAATTCCATCTTCTTCCCAATCCGAGAAGAAGATACCCGAAAGGGCTAATTCTGATCAATCTTCCAGAACACACACTCGCACTGTGTAGTGTGTGTTTTCTCTGTTCATATCTCAACAACAACAAGAATTAAAGGGATATAAAAGAAAAAGTGGGTGGGCGAAAATGGCTTCATTAGCCCAGCAAATTTTTTCACCACTCTCTTCCAAGCTTTCCATGGACAATTTCCTCCTCACCAAATTGAAAACCCCATTAATGGCCGCGAATTCTAGGAGAAAGATGGTGATATCAGCTGCAGCAGTGGCAGTGACAAATGCACAGACAAAGGAAAGAATGGAGCTCAAGGAAATGTTTCAGGAAGCTTATGAGAGGTGTCGGACTTCCCCCATGGAAGGGGTCGCCTTCACCCTCGATGACTTCCATTCTGCCCTTGAGAAATATGACTACAATTCTGAAATTGGGACCAGGGTAAAATATCCTACACATTTCTCCATTTTTGGGTTTTCCTTTCTTAGGCGTGTATGGATGTTTGCTAGCTTCTACGCTGTTTTGATTTTTTCACGTAGCTTGTTGCTGAGATTGGATTACTGTTGGTTGAAAAGATTGCATTTTTCGCATAATGTCGGGGTGATGTTGAGCTGATTATTGAGAGATATTGTTAATTCATTCGCGATAAGGAGGATTTAGCTTTAAGTTGCTTTGGTTGCGTGTTAGTTCTTGCTGTATTTGAATCTTTTTAAGTAAATATTTGATTTTGGATAATGTCAGGGTGATATTGGGTGGAGTAAATCTTTTTAAGTAAATCTTTTTAAGTAAGATGGCATTTGTTCAACCCTGTTTAAACTGGAAGAAAGATATTGCTTTATCTGGAACATTATAGTTAGAAGATAGATTTTAGCTTTGTTTGGGTTTTTTTTATGATTATTTATCAATAATTTGTGATAAGGCAGGTTTTACCCTCTTTTTGAAGATGGGGGTGGGGTGGGGAGTTTGTTCTGTTGTACGATGAACAGTGTAACTGGATTGATGAACAAAAACTGGTTATTTGTAGGTCAAAGGAACAGTTTTCGCTGTAGATGCTAATGGAGCATTTGTAGACGTTACTGCCAAATCGTCAGCCTATTTGCCTGTTAGCCAGGCATCCATTTGCAAGATAAAGCATGTGGAAGAGGCTGGAATTGTGCCTGGTCTGCGCGAGGAGTTTGAGATCATTGGTGAAAATGAGGCAGATGACAGTTTGATACTCAGCTTGAGGGCGATTCAGTATGACCTGGCGTGGGAACGTTGCAGGCAGCTTCAAGCTGAAGACGTCGTTGTGAAGGGTAAGGTAGGTTTCCCCCACCGAATCAACTTTGCTTTGGTTTTCCTCTCTTTTGCAATTTTCGCATCTGTTCCTATGGATGGATATTCTTGGATGTTTGTTGTGATCTGTGTTCCGGGTAGTATCCTCTGCTTATCTCTCTCGATTTGTCATTGTGATTCTTCTTGTAAATTTAATTGATGATTGAATCTTTTGGGTTTTGGAAAGTAATTCAACTGGTGACAATTTTGTTATACTGTCATTCATCTGCAGGTAATTGGTGCCAATAAAGGTGGAGTAGTGGCTACCGTTGAAGGCCTAGTTGGGTTTGTTCCATTCTCACAAATATCAACGGTTAGTGCACATTTATACTGTTTTTTCTTGAACACTTTTGCTTCCTGAGAAATGAGTGCAATTTTATCCTATTTATTTATTTATCTTTGAGAGTTTTAAATCCATGCATCCCTACTTACCCCCTGTGGGTTCTGACCTAGTTAAAAGCAATAACAGCAAATGGTGACATATGATTTGCTTCATTACTTTGTCAGAAATCAACTGCCGAAGAGCTACTTGAGAAGGAGCTTCCCCTTAAGTTTGTGGAAGTTGATGAAGAACAAGCTAGGCTTGTCCTCAGCAACCGTAAAGCCATGGCTGACAGTCAAGCACAGCTTGGGATTGGTTCGGTGGTTCTTGGAACCGTTCAGAGCTTAAAACCGTATGGTGCCTTCATTGACATTGGAGGCATTAATGGACTTCTTCATGTCAGTCAAATTAGTCACGACCGTGTCTCAGATATAGCAACAGTTCTTCAGCCTGGTGATGTCTTGAAGGTGCTTATGGATATGTCATCGTGATGTTGGCTTTTTGTATCTTAATAACCCTTAAAAACATTATGCCTCAGTAAATTCTCTTGGTTTTAGGTGATGATACTGAGTCATGATCGCGAGAGAGGTCGAGTGAGCCTCTCTACCAAGAAGCTGGAGCCTACCCCTGGTGACATGATTCGTAATCCAAAGCTTGTCTTTGAGAAGGTATTTCTTTGTGAAACACTTTTTCCTTTTGAGGGATGCTCTCAAGTTTGGGATTATGGAGAACGAAGTACTATCTAAAGATAGACTTCTTGTGTTGTTCTTGTCTGTGTTTGAGTGTGTACCTCTTCTTAATTCCTGGACTGCAAATTTTAACTTACCAGATTGAAGTGTAGATCAGTGTCATGTTTCTTGGACAGGAGAATAAAACACTTATCTAATTGCCACAATAGCATCATCAAGGCAATAACAACAGTTTTTGTTGACTAAATTTTACAGGCAGAAGAGATGGCTCAAACATTTAGGCAGAGAATCGCCCAAGCGGAAGCCATGGCTCGTGCCGACATGCTTAGATTCCAACCAGAGGTAAAATTGCTTTCATACTTTCTGCCTTCTCAATAAAGTTTGTTCCTAGTCGTATGGAAATTCTATAAACAGGACTATATGAGTATATCATTAAATTACATCTGGTCTGCCGTACTACTAATCTGCTTTTTGTATGGCTCGTTTCTGCTGGTGTTGCTTTTCTGGCAGAGTGGTTTGACTCTGAACTCCGACGGGATCTTAGGACCATTGTCCTCATCCGAGTTACCAGCCGAGGGCCTGGATTTGAGCGATATCCCCCTTGGAGATGATTCATCATGAGTTGTAAAGAATTGATATGTTGTTGTAGAACGAGTATGAAATTCTCACACTGCTTTATTCTTTCTTTGAACACTAGGTTGCCCTTCTGATAGCTTTTGTATGACAATGCTTTATGTATGATAGCTTTTTGGTGCTCTTCATAGAATTGTTTAAGCCTCAATCTCCCCCCTAAACTGCCGAATGCAAAGAAGTTGTACATATTTGAGGTCCCTAGTTTCACCTTTAAAGTTCTCTAAAGGGTCCATTTTTGGTGTACCTTCTGAAGGGATTATTACACTTCTGTGTAGGGATATGGCGGTTCCCATGGATGTCTAACTCGTGAGCTCCTTCGATCCTTACAGAAAAGATAAAATAAATAGTACTTATTTCCTCGAGTCATTTGGCAACTTCGCTCGTCTCTGTGTTAAGGCCAGGGCTGAACAAAATTTTGGTACCAATGTCGGCATAGAAAAAGATAAGCAATATTGTATCAGTTAGAAGAGTTCACATAATTCAATGGATATAAGTCATGATTACAAAAGGAGCAAAAAGCAAACGTGATGAACATCTAGAAAGATTAAACACGCATCCATACCGAGGTTGACATATATACCAAAAGACTCATTGTTTTTCCATATCAGTAGCAAACATTTTGCATGGTGCCCCCATAGTACTACTGATCGACTTCAAGTTGAATTCTAAATAAAGAAATGAAAACCAGGTATATAGGTTCCCTATGATCCTTCAAGATTTTTACTACGAATTAGATTGCCTCAGTAAACCTTCAAGAAATCGACATACGTTTGCACAAAAAGATTGATGACTTTCTCTTACAAGATTGGGAGGAGTGTACACACAAACTTTTGAAGCGATCAGAATACATTTAAAAGATCTTTACGAGGCTCCTGCTTTGTTAGCCTTCTTGCTCTTCTTTTGCTTCTGCTTCATCTGAGTGAGACCTGCAGCAGTCACTTTCACATTACCGAGGATTGCAGCAACAAGCTCGGCATCTGTGCACGCTTTCATCAGTTCTTTCTCTCTAACTGTCGCCTCAGGCGCGTGGCCAAACAAACTTATGGCTGTCTTAGCAGCTGCAAAAGAAGATACAACAATCCAGAAAATTGATATTAATAAGCTTTTCATTCCACTTTATCGTTCTACTTATGCTGAGTCAAAATGTGTCTCCACCAATTCAACGAACCGAAAGTTCATAAATTAGGCAAGAACATGCTGAATGTTTCACTACGGAAGACATTGTTATCCAAGTATTAACTTAGCCTAACTTTCTCAAGTAAATGCTGGCGTTAGAGAATGAACAAACCTTTTCCTTTCTTTACAGTTCCAGGAACCAACTTGACACGGTATTTGTACGACTGCAGAGCACTGTAAGGACCACATACGGGTACTGCATACAACAATACATCATTTGGTGCTGGGATTCCAGTCAAGTAATCCACATCATTCAATTTCTCTTTCTCTTCTTCGCCTATTTCGTGAATATCATCTTCCTCCATTGCTATCTTATCCATGTCACTGGCAACATTCCTGTCCTCCAAAGCATCATTACTGTGCACGACATCATCTGACTGTTCTTCACAATCCCGGGCCAAATGACCTGGCTTCTTACACTTGTAACATACCTTGGGAGTGTCATCATGACCTGGAATTAAATGTAAGAGTTTTGCAATTAAGCCATGTTGTAAAGCTAAAGAAATGAAAAGTCTACTTCAGACAGAATCGGGTGAAGTGTTACTGGCATAAACCTACCAGAGGTAGCAAGCATAAACTGTCAACGATGTACAAGAAACTGAAATAATTACTGTTCTACTTCTAAATTTAGACTCACCATCAGCAGGCTTTGATTCAGCATTTGCAACTTTTTCATCCTCCACAATTTTATCTTTCCTTTGCACTTTCCCAGCAGCCTGAAAACCCAAGGAAATGTAAGCTTGCTGTTTCAGGAAATTCATACGAAACAAAAATATTTTCTGAAGGCAAAACAGTTTCATAAATGAGGCATCACACAGAACACATGAACATGGTGCAGACTAAAGACAGGCAATATCATATTTTATCAAGAAAGTTAAGTGAACTACATCACAATTATTGGATCAGAAATTCTTCCAGAAAGAAAAGCAGGAATACACATCATTACTCACAGCCAATAATGCCATTCGGATACTGCGTTCCTCATCATCTTGATCAGCATACTTTTCTTTAATTTTCTTAAGTTTGCTCCTCTGACCTCGGCTGATCTTTCCAACACATGGCTTTGAACTGTCAACATGTTTCTCTTGAAGTTTTACAGTATCGCTCTTTTTATCATCTTCTTCGCCATTTTTAAAAGCTCTACTGATATCTCTATCCTTTTGTCCTTTCTTCTGCATCTTTCTTTGGGCTTTTGATATGTATGGCTTATCTCTAGCAGCCGCCAATGCTGATGCTTCATCGTCATGATGATTGTCTGATCTGGCAACAGAAACTTTGGCGCCGTAATTCTTAGTGGATCCAGTAGCAGAGCCGAGCTCAAGAGCTCTGTCAAGAAGATCCTCCAGTTGTGGAGAGGTCGAGACACTTTCTTCATTATTTTCCAATGCCTTGGAAGCTTCACGAGGATCGTCACCCAAACTGCCAGTAGTATTATCACCTAAAGCAGGCGATCCATCATTAGAATTGGCTTCTGACTGCTGTGGAACACTTTGCAACTCTGATGCTTCCTCAACTAGTTTCTCTGACTCAGCATCAGAAACTTCTTTGAAAGCTTCACTTTCTTCAGCATCATTCATCTCTTCCTCCTCGCCTCTCACTCTTCTTTCATTCAAGTGGGATCCTAAGGAACTTTCATCCAAGCGAAATAAAATCCCAAAGCCCATAACCAAAGGGTGTGGAGGAAGAAAGTTCTTCTTTCCACGTATCATGAAACTTCCAACGGTCAGATACTCTCCAGTAGGAGCAGTTTTACTCACTTGGTGAGGATAGACCCACCAAGCACTAGTTACCATCTTTGAATTCCACGCTTGACTGTGGCAAACCTACATCAAAGCATAAAATGTGGGATGATCATGCAATTCATGAAGTGAATTGTCAAATAAAGACAAAGGAAGAAAGTAGTATTAACATACAACAATAAACAACTTACAGTGAAACACCCTGCTTGGTTTAAAGTGAGGGGGGGCACCGGAGATTCAGGCTTGTGATTCTTTATCACAGTACTAGAAGCTCCATGAAGTTCAGCATGAACATACCTGTTTCATAGCAAATCATCAATATCCATGAAATTTCAACCAAAATAAGTGTTAGAAAAACAATATAATTTCAACTTACAAATCTCCCTTAGACATGTAACGCTTCACAATCAACTCATTCTGTTGGGCATCCCGTCCGCTTATAACGAGATAATTTTCACTGCTAATGAACCAGTTAAATTTCTCAAACCAGTGAACTTTGCGCATATGCGTGATAGCAGCAACAGTTTTTTCCTACAAATTAAAGAAAAGAAGCTCAAAACTATGTAACAGGTACGATGTGTGGGTCAGAATTTCTTAAACAAAATTTGAATATTGGTTAACAGTGACGAATACAATCAATTTCAGTCTCTGGTCATTCAGGCACCTGAGAAAGCTGAAGACGAGTCTTTCTCTCAGCAGCCTTAAAAGCTTGTTCATGAGACGTGATTGTTTTTTCCTGCTTGCTTTCTTGTTTCTTCTTCATCTCATACCATCTCCGAGCATTTGCATGGGCTGAGAGTGCAAGATCAACTTCAACCTAGAGAAGGGATAGCATAAACAAAAACTATTTGTCACCAACGTGCCCACTTGATATTATGAGGCTGCTAATCAAAATTGGCCAAGCACCAAATGTGAATTAACATTATACTTGAAGTAGTAGGAATGACTTCCATAGAGCTGAATACTACTAATAACCATTCAAATCCTTAAAACAAAAATTATCTAATGTCTCCTGCAATAACAAATTGTAGAAAGGCAGTAAGTCAGTCATACCCTGTCTGCCGGTTGTGTCTTCTCATCATCATCCATTTCATCGAGATTGTTACTCAGTAGCAACGTCATACAATTTCTATCCAAATGGAGCTTGTCAATAAGGCCTGCTACAGGGTTTCCGGATTTTTTCTCTTCCTTTACCATGCGAGCCAGATCCTCCCAACTCATGCCATTTGCAAGAGCTACACGAACAGCTAAAATGGCCGAATCAACTTCTTCCAAATTATACTCTATTAACTCTGCCATTTTGATGCAGTGTTCAACTTCTTTCTTCAAAGAAAGCACACGATTTTCCTGAGGCATAATTCGAACACAGTACAAGTTAAATCAAGATTCAGGTAACACACTCCCAAATTATTTTTCCCTGCCACTCTCTGCTTACTGTATAGAATAAAAAAGTACTGCAATACATAACCCGGAAAGATACAACCAAACAAACAAAACAGAAGTATACATTTCAAGCAAATTAACTTTCAGAAGACCAATGGGCATGTTACATGGAGGTCACATAACTAACTAAACTATTTTGGTTCTTAATCTTCTAGTCATTCAGCAAAATAGTTACAAACCTGTTCACAAATAGGCAAGGAAGACCCCCAATGGTGCATCATCTCTACTCTGAATGTTTGATAGTTCCTGAATAACTACATTAACTGTTCGTTGTAGACACATTACCAAATGGCACAGCAGTAGGAATTCAAACCCCTTAAATATATGGAGTTTCCATAGGCAGATTCCCAAAACTGAGACCCAGATATATCTCAAGTAGACTCTACGTTAAAAAGGCCTAGACTAGAAATTCAAATCTTAAATTAAAAAGGAGGCGTAAAACCAAGAGCAGATGCTTCACAATATCACTTACTAAATACCAAATCCACTTAATTAAACCACTATTTTCATTGGAAAAATATGGCCAGTTGACTTTAACAGAGAAACTTATTTCTTCCATATTCATTCATCGTAGCTATACTTCCCTCGGTGTCACCAATCTAGTTTTTCTATCCAACAATCAAGAAACATGGAACCACGTACAGTTTATTGTTGTACTTAACTTTGCAGCAGTTATGTGGATAAAATGAAGAACTACCAAAGAAAGTTCACATAACATTTCCAATCAATATCGATAACAGATCTCAAACGGATGAGTTCCTGAATTTTGCTGTCACACTAACCTGATCATTGCGGATTTTGTCCAGCTTCTGCATAGCAGCACTCTCTTTAGTTTTTTGCTGTTGATCCAAACGCTGACTCTCTATTTTACTATAGAATTCATCCAATGCAGCATCAAAGGTGTCAAAGGTTGTCTGATCTCTAGACTTGAATTGGTTCAGCAACAAAGGGCAGAACTCATCATATATCTGTTGAAAGTCAATCAACCACCTTAGAGTTCATGAAACACTAATCTATTCTGAAAATTTTAAAAAAACAATAAACAAGAGTATTATCAGTTCAGAACAACCTGTCCAAGACTCCCTGCTGTCGGCACAACACCATCTTGTTTCCCTAAATTCCTTTGCTGCATTATTATGAACCCTTCTGGAATTTTACCGCCGGATATGATATCCTCCAGCCAGTCTTCGAACTTGGCCACAGCTTCCACCAGACGCCGGATAACATCGTCTTCTAATTTGAAATTCTTCTGGACTTTGGTATTTGGAATGAGATCAGCGTCTAGGATAATGTGTTCTGCCAACGCTGGTCCATAACCCAATGCCTCACCAAAAATCATCTTCAAGGTAGGCTGCTTGGCACGAGCTCCATCATTAACAACTCCTTTAGAATCCTTAGATTTTATGCTTTTGCCACCACCCTCCTTTCCTAGAGATGTATCAGGAGCAGTATTTCCTTGGCCATTTCCATCAGGCTCCACTTGAAGTGTTAGCGCTGCTTCTATCTTTTCATTGCTAGTCCGCTGAAAAACCCGGCAGATTTCAACTGGATACCGATGGCGTGACATGATAGCTAAACCTTTATCATCATCTCTGTTATCATCGTAAGTTGTTACTCATGGATTCGAAGTGTGATAAAATACAAAATTTAACCTAAGTGTCTCCATGATGGAAAAAACAAAACTAAGACCAGGTAAAAAAAATCCCTACCTGTGCGATCGAAGAAGAGTTAAGACCATGAATTCTGAATCAGTAAGAATAAGATTCCCTTGGGCATAGAGTTCCAATATCACGTAATGAGCATTGGCACCGAGTCCAAATTGAAAGAGGACTATCTGAGCACAGGTCACGAGGGAGGAAAAAGGTCAGAATGAGTGAAATGCCACCACAAAATCATGAAAACACAACTAAAATAACTCATACCCTATCATATCCCAGTTGCCTCACATCTTCAAGCCTCCTTGTTCGTATATGCTTCCTCAATTTAAGTGTAAATCCAGATGGTGTATTGCTTTTGTCTCTACAATTTCATGAAAAAGTTGAGTAAGAACTCGAAGACTTCCTATCACACCCCTTGCGCTCTATGAAAGGGCAGCAAATGTCAAACCAATACAATTTGAAACTAATAACAATAATGATTATAAATTAGTTCTGATCCTAAGATCCAACTTGCAGACACACACAGTCCTTTTTTAGGACTTGCAGAGTCATATGCTACATCTCAACAACTATTTCATTCAATTAATTCTCCACAGTACTCTAGAATTTACAATTTCAGAAATGGATCTTATTAAGAACAATACCAAAAGCAAAATCAAACTAACCCCTTCAGGAATATAGAAACAGAAAACTTATAGGTTGGTTTACCTGATATAAGCTGTGGTATGCAATCTGATACCGCTTTCCATCAACAGCAATACCTTCTCACTTTCCCCTGATTCTGTAACTCCACTACTATTCACCAGCTTGAACACATACGTCTGCTCAAAAGAAAAAAAAATACAGTTACCTAGTAACAATAACCAATGTATCGCGTACAAGTAAGAAGATAAGTCAGTTGCCTAATTCAACCTCACGCAAGCATTCATAGGCAAACAAGAACCGTAAATAAAGAAAAACCGCTACAGAACTGGGTGAAGTAACGAAATTGAAGAAATTCCATTCAGCTACAACACAAGAATGAAGGATGAATAATTGAAGCAAGGAAATTTCCAGAAACGTTTACCTTTGAAGAGAGGTCGTACACATTGGAACAGCGCATGCCGATTAAGCGGCGCAAGCACTTGACTTCCGCCGCCACATCGGCGGTGTTCATCCGAACCTTCACCATTTGTTTTTTTTTTTGTTGAATTCTTTTTTCTTTATTTCAAGCTTGGGACGATTATCAGCATGTTCCGGGAGCTAGAATTCAATTCATGCGTCGTACTGGTTTCCTGGAGAACAAGTTTGATGAAATTTGTTGTAATCGTTCTTTCTTTTTTTTTTATATATTTTTTTAATTTCTTCAAGTTCATAAATTGCTGTGATTAATTCTCCAGATTGGAGATGGGCCGCAACACAAAATAAGCCCAGCCCATCCCCGTCAGCCTTAATTCTCTATTATGGTCTTCACAGTTCTGATTTGATAAAAAGAAGAAAAAATGTCTTTTTTTCCTAATCCTCCTTCCTTCTTTCTTTTTTTTTTTTTCCTAATTAAACGTCTGTAAAATTAGGATCTGTCTAATTTTCTCTGTCATTTTCATATTGTTGTACCATGATGTATTTTCTATCTTTATAACATAATATAACATTTGAACATCTTTTATCTTTTACTTCAGGTTTCATAAAAAACAAAATAAAATAAGAAATGCCAAAAAACAAATAAACACATTTTTAAATATAAGTAAAGATGGCCTCTTTCTTTCAGCAAGTGTATCGTATCATCAAATTGGACGCTTTGCTCTTGCTATTGTAAGACTCCATTGTTACGGAGCAAGTTCAAAGAGGGAAAAAAAAAAAAAAACCCTAATCAGCTTATCATTTTCCCTGCTCCATTCCCTTAAAAGCATACATGCAGTAGCACCATAATTCTTGCAAATTTACAACCTCTAAACTAAGTTTTCTTCAGACCAAGACCAATTCACAGCAGGTCTTGCCCATGAGAACAGTATGTGGTTCCTTCTCAGATGGTATATCATTTACATAGCTTTAACCACCATATCTACAACTAAACCAATAACATCGCTTCGCGATGTGTGATTTACAAAATCCCACCCGGCAGAAACTTGGAGGGTTTCTTCCTAGCTATTTGTTCTTTGTGTCCCCCACCCCTTGAGACTTTTCAGCTGTCACAACAGTTATACAGAAGAAAGGCTTTGATCAGAGTGAGTTGTGTCCATCTTTGATCCAGGGCAAGACTAGGTTGAAGTCGGGAATTCTTTTTCTTCTTTGAATCGTTACCGAATGTAAAATGCCCCCATTCTCCATCGACGACAGGGCCCCAACACTAGCTCAGATCAAATCCAGCTGCGGCATTTATGGCGTATAAAAGCTTTTGTTCCATTTGTTCCTTGCTGCATCCAAATACAAGAATAGCATATATAAACATTTATGTGTCAATCATGAGAGTCATATAATAACAGATTCCAACATCAGCCACTCGAAAATATCAAAAGACACTGAAGCAATCCAGACCTTCTATATGGAGGAAGTTTCAAAAGATTCATGCAAGTTGCAGCTGTTGGTAATCTATTTACAATTTCTTCATTCGCGACGCCAGCAACTCTGTTTCAATTTAAGAAAATGGTATCACAAATGATTGATGCAAGAAGCATACGTTACTAGTTACAATCAATTTTACACATAATTCAAGTCTCACCTTTGTATACAGAACAATGGCTCCAACCTTTTAAATCCAAGTAAAGGCCCTCGCGAACACCCAGTTACAAACCTGAATTCAGAAAAGGAAAGAAAATGATCGCGTTTTAGTAAAATAAATGACCAAGAAACAAGGAGATGACATCAGACCTAAATGATAATGAGGTTCCGGAAATTAAGCTAAATTTCGAGTTGGATTTATCTAAATGAAAAAGACATTCTTAGACGCACCCCAAAAAAAAAATAAATAAATAAAAATAAAATAAAATAAAATAAATTGTTTTCACCAGATTCAAAATAAACCCATGTTAAATCTGAAGTGACAGGTTCAACTTACTTTAAGAACTTCCTTTGATTCTCCAGTGAGAGAGATTTGACAACCTCCCAGAACATCTCAATGATATAGTGCTCCTGTGAAACAGAAACAACTGTTTTAACCCACACTTTGGACTTAAAAAAGAAGAAAGGAAAGCATATATATAAAGTATTATTACGATATTAACATTGCTTATCCTACAAATGTTTAATGAAATACTTGCTTCAGAAATCAAGAAAGTAGTATCTATTCATCTATACTTGTGGCATTTGTTGATCTTCAAGCTTATCATCAGAATATTACATAATGTAGAATCATTGAGGCCAAATTTGTTTTTATGTAAACATGTATCTCCAACTTATACTAAATTCTTGATGCTTCAGGTTGACAATGAACAAAATAACTTAAATCAGACTGAGGGTAGGAAAAAAGATCACCCAAAAATGAACTTTGCAATTTGACAGGGAAAAAAAAAAAAAAAAACTGTTGGATTTCATGCATCGATAACCATAGAACACAGCTGACTATGGGAATTTAGGACTGAAGTTTTTTCTAAGCTTCCAAAAATTGTTTCAGATCAAAAGTTCAAGTATCAACACCCCCTGCCAATCTAAAGAATTAACATGCTTTTATGTCAGATTTCAAGTTGATTGTTCTCTTAAAGGGCCAACAATAGTTTAATTTGCAGAAATCTCATTAAAAATATGATTCAAAACTTAATAAAAGAAACTGCGACGTGCAATCCAACATGTTGAAGGAGGAAGAGAAAGGAATTACTGAATGATAGCCTCCTGCATAATTGGTATTGGCTCGAAGATCATCAACATCAATGCCATCCACTGATCCAGATATCAAAAGCTGGAAATATGAAAGGTAAAATTAAGATATCAACCTCAATTCGCAGTCATAGCTGTACATAGTTATGCTTTAACTCAATACTCATTACCCAGTACAACTTACAACCTCCAACCTCAATTATGCTTTTACCTTAGTCATAACTTTTTTAATCGCCAGGTAAAGACAACATAATAAGTCTAAATGAGCTCAGAAAAGTACCAGATTTTAAAAGTTTGGCTTTACCTGAAGTTCATGCTCGTTGAACATGTCAATCCATTCTTTCTTTATAAGCTGCTGAAACCCCCGCAGGAAATAAGAACTTTGTTGACGTATCTGCGAATCATATTTAAGTACTAATGTCAATCTTATGATAAAAATAAAGGAATAATAATTTAAAAAAAAAAAAAAAGGAAAAACTGAAAGTGGGGTATAACCAGAGACAAGATAAGCTCTTATATAACGCTCAAATAAGCAATAAACAACTGATGAAAGTCCATGTTACAGAAGCAGATTGTTAAATAGAGCCTCACCTGAAAATTCAAGCGGTGGTTCGCTACAAGATGAATAAATGTGATAACATTCTCATTTGTAACCCGTAAATCTTTACCCCCAGGGATCAGCTCTTCTTCTGTTTGCTCCCCATATTCATTGTTGACAATGACAAAGTACAACTCTAACCCAGAGATATCACCCTGATAATGCTGCAAAACAGAAAGAGAGAGAGATATAATGGATCATCAGAAAAAAAAGGTATGCATGAAATTACGAAGTACGGCATTTGCCCTTAATTCCTTCCTTCCTTTCTTTCTTTTTCCTTTCTTTATTTTTTATTTTTATATTTCTCAGTGTTTCAGTGGTCAAACGGGAAAATACACACGATATACTATTCGCGGTTGTCAACATACAAGAAGTAAGAATAAGTCCAACCAGCAGCTACTATGGCTGGCAAACCAAGCAGTGCAGAGTATCTTCTTGCCCTAGACTAAAATATTGGAATCCATATGAGATGGAACTACAAGTGTCTGAAATATAAATCTTAGAGCCATCATTTCCTTACTTATCTATTGTATGATAAAAATGGTAGAAAAGGAAAAAGCAATAAGCGAAGTGTAACCTTCAGAAACAGCAGATGTCTGTATAACTCCGGATCCAAAGAAGGCAAATCATTCAGGTAATTGTGCCTGTTCAGCAATAATAAACCATGTCAAAAGGCACGTTCCTTTCATGAGATCAAAGTAAACAGATTAACGATAATGCCCCAATGCTATTAGATACCAGTTAACAAAAATTAGAGCCAAGTAATAAATAGTGTTCTTGGATTGCATGGATGTAACTGATTCTTAAATGTAATGCTTTCTTCTTAATGCTTTTCTCCAAATAAATAAACAAGTAATAGTAACAATTCTTTAGGAATTCGTTATGTCCTGGTTCTTGTTAACAGCTTTCCTCATTTATGTGAAACTTTTAAATCATACTTTCCTTATTAACATCAACCAGATATGTTATCATCATATCTTGTTGAACAGTGTGATAAAAAGTTTTATCATATATTAAAACACGAACTTCCTCTTTTAAGCATGTAATTAAAGTAAATGGTATATGAGCTTGAAATCTGAATCGATGTGCTTACTTTTGTTTCAATTTGCTGAGAAAAAATGTGGCAAATGGAATATCCACCAGAATACCCTCGAACATTGCCTTCAAAAAGAAACCATGTCAACTTCATATAAATGATTATCGACCAGATTATACTTAGTAAATAAATAAATGCATGCATAACCTTAGCAAGGACAGTTCCAAGAAAGTGAAAATATTGGAGATGCATTTCATGAACCAACCCTGATCCAGGATTGGGATATAGAAGGTGATCAGACGTTTCCTGCAGATAGGCAAAAATTCTTAACCAGTGAGTCAGAAGCAATATAAGCAAATAGATCCATATCAAACACAAAAGGGACATCTAGGCATCATTGTTTATGTCTAAATTCAATGCAAAAGTACCACCTTAAATAATCCATATTGAACATCAAAGGCGGCTCGAGTAACATTCTCCATAAAATCTTTGAAAATGCCACCACCATCTATACCAGCCTCCTCCGCTCCAAATTCATTGATAAAAGAAACACGAATCTGTACAAACATAGTGACATAGTAGTTGTAAAGACAAAAGCTGCTAATCCTTTGGAATAAAACAAATCAAAAGTGTAGGGAAATTTGACATCACCGGCCCTCGAAGATCCTCTTCAGTAAATGAATTCAACTGATTAAAAGCATCTTCCAAAATCTGATTTCTTCTTACTCGAAGCTTGTTCCTAACATAGGCAACTTGAGGAAGAACATTCCTGTCTCGTGCAGATGCAAGCTGTGACTGTTAACAACAACTATCATCATCACAAGGGAAAACAAAATTTCATACATATATGACATAAACATGCCATTATATTCATCGAGCAAATGATTTTGGAGAGACAGAAGGCATAAAAAAAGCAACTCACAGTAAATATTTGGGCTCTGCTTGTAAATGGAACCAAAAAGGGAGCTAATTTTAGTACTTCATTTGCTTTTGTGTTCTCGGTGGTTGCCTGGAAATTACACATCATGATTAGTGACTAGGAGTAAGTGGCAAAAATTATTAATAATTTCAACCAAAAGAAAACGTAGTTGTAAATATACCTGAGTGATGAAATAGTCATTGACACCATCAGCATGGAAATGACTGGGAGAAACAAATTGCCTTCTATTATTCCAATCTTGCAACTAAGAGATTCACACATATGAGAAGCAGTGTCAGTGGAGCGTAAAGTAGAGATGCAGTAACCAATGTAATTTTTTGAACATCAAAAAGCAAATCAAGCGAATAGGCATCATCGTATCATACCTGCGACAAGAGTTCAGAAGCCACAACACAAACTTTATGCTGAAGAAAATCTACAGGGTGTTTCTTCATAGCAACGATGTGGTTGCTAGACTTGGAAAAATTTGTTGGTGGCACAGGGTTCACCCAAAGAAGCTGCCATAAGGCCTAAAGACGAGCAAAATGCACAAGAAGCACACGACCATATTAGGTATTTTACTCTACCATTTAAGTACACCAAAGAGCTATATAAATGAATTAAAAAGAAACTTCAGGCCATGAGAGATTGAAAAAAGCCTTAAATAGAGTATATACACCATAAGTGCAGCACCACCATTTCAATTTTTCTCAAAAGTAACTAAATAGTGCATCAAGCATCTCCAACAATCATCAAAAGAGATACCATAAGGCCTGGATAGGGAAAAACTGAGACCACAAATATTTCAGATATTGATTAAGGCATGAATACTTCAGAAAATAAAAAAGCTTTAACACATGTGACAGAGATACCATCAGGTATACAACGCTTAAAGCAGGAATCATTACCACATTTAAGACAGTTCAAGGTAGGAAACTCATGCACAGAAATTTTCAACCAATTCACTTCTAACCAAATCCAAAAAATTAATGGGTCAGCTGCTATTACATTTGAGTCCCTTTCACCACCATGACAAAACAAAACAGAAAGTATGAATCTCGTTTTAAGTTTGCAACATACAAGATGGATACAGTTCCAACTGAAAGTAAGAAAATATCAACAAATTTAAGACATGGTAACATGGAAAGAAGGTGATCTAATCAGCCAAAGAAAAACCCACAAATGGCTTTAAAAACTAATCAGATCTCAGTTTTTAGAAGATACATCACAAATCAAAGAATACATCCCAACAGGCAGAAGAAATTCACCTGTCTAAGAATAACAATCAAGCAACGGACATCTTCTAATTTGAGAGGCTTCTCTCGCTCATAGAACTCTTCATTATCAACAATCATAAGCATGTGCCTGGTCCAAAACACAAGGTCAAAATCAGGATTTCAACATAAAGAAGTCACAGTATAGATACATATCGAGAGAGAGAGGGAGGGAGGGAGAGAGAAAGAGAGATGATCATCTAGAAGGATCTTAACTTGTAAACTGGGCAGAAGGCAGCCAAAGTTAATAACCAACCAGGTACATCTTCAGGTACATACGTAGACAGCTGGGACACGTATGACCATTCAGAGTTCTTGTGGCAACGGCTCATGAAATTCCATAATGCAGGAACCAACTCGGTCCTATAAGCTAGTACAGTCATGATGCGCTCTAGAGGCAGCACATTGAAAGTTACATGCAAGAAAGCACAGATTGCACTAATGGTTGCTGCTTCTTTATTGATGGGACCTCCCAAAAATGCCCTATCAGTAAATGATAATCCTCCCAGTATAATATTCGTCTGGAAACCAAAGTACAAAAAGCATTAGTGCCCAACATCGAGCATGCCTTAACTCATTTGAAAAGCCTAACGGATACCAAAAAATAAATAAATCAATAAAACCTAATGGATTCAAGTGTGATTATGCATACCAGTTGTAAGAGAAAGCGAGGATCTAATGCATTATAAATTTGACGCTCCAAGTCACTATTTAGAGCATTTTCTGTTAACTGATTATCGTCAAGCATCTCATCATCCTCAAAAGAACTGTTTTCTGTGGAAAACATATTGCTCAAATTAGATTATGCAATTAAGGAAATACATAATTGCATAACATATGAAAAACAAATAGAAAAATGTCTTAAGCAGGGCCTTACGTTGTTTACCACCTTCACTAAATAATCTGATAGGTGGCATTGTTTCCAGCAAAGATGTCGCAATAACTGCAAAATCTATGGCCTGATTCGGGAAGAAAGAAAAAGGCTATTTTCAGACCAATTAGACTAAGCATTAAAAAAAATAAAAAATAAAAATAAAAAATAAAAAAATTTACTATTTCTAACAAATTACAAACAATTTGACTATAAACACAATAATAATAGTATAAACAGACATGAATGTATGAGCTCAATAAGCCCTGGTTACTCGAGAAGAACGAGACATAATTATATAAAGTATTCTTCATGTAAAATACAGGAAATGGAAGGTAGAAAATTCACTGGTAGAAAGACAAAATGTATGCCAGAAAAAGAATAAAGAAGTTGTCAAATCATGTTTTAAATCAAAACAGCAAAGACAATTCAGGAAGCTCAAGAAGTTGATTGACTTGGTCTAGTAAATTAACAGGAAAGAATAAAGGAAATGCTACAGCAAAACGATATGAGTTCATGGCAACATATTGCAAAGCATATTGAAGACAAACAAAACCATCAACAAAATGAAGCAGTGACATGTCTAATCTTGGAAAGTTTTACCAAGTCGAATGACTCCGGATAAGAGAAAGCAGTTCCGGCAGCTTCCAGCATATTTCCCAAAAGGCAGGCAAAACCAGGCAGATCACTTGTTACGCCTTTAGGTAGAATATCCAAGTGATTCTTCACACTGAGTGCCATTTGATGGAAATATTGTTGACCCACTCTAGGTTTTGAGAAAACCTAGATTAACAACAAAGCAATCTTCAAAGAATATACCAAGAGATTCTTGAACCAAAAAAGAACTAACTGAAACGTTAGGGACACTTTAACCATGTATAAACAAGGCTTACATAAAGTAGCAATTAAACAGGCAATATGAAGATATGCATAAAATTCAAACCTGAATTGAGGCAAACCATCAGTATTATCAAGCAATTTCCAACTCTTGGAATACATTAATTCAGTGTAAACATTTCAAATACACAAATGACACTACCTCTCTCAGGTTTGGGAAGAGACTCCACAAGAACGGAATAGTAAGAATCTGCGACAAGAAGCTCCATCGCGGTTCTATAGCTGGACAAACACATGGTGGATGGCCAGCATGAGATATAATGTTTGCCAGAAACCTTTCCAGAGAAGATACATCACCAACGGGACCTTGGATATTTACTTGCTGCAACATGAATCAGAACAACAGCTTAATTCATGCATACCACAAGAATTTCACAAATTATTCAACATTAGACACCACCACAAGCCTGAAGAAAATGGACAAAGATATTTGAATGTTTTAATGCCTACGAAAATGTAAATAAAACAGTAAGCTTGTAATCAGTTATTGACAACAGTACATCACAACTTCATGCAAAAGAAGACAAAATATACATGTCCAATTTACCTTTAGTGTCAGAATGATATCCCTAAACATGGAAAATACATTCCTCTGCATGAGGTAGCTGACTGTGCTACAAGCCCATGGAAGTCCATCATCAATAAGTATATGCAATGTTTCCAAAAAGACATTTGCTGGAGCATCAGAGCTTTTAAGAGTTATCAGTTGATCCTTAAACCTTAACCTACACAAGCCACAACGAAAATGACGGATCAAATCAAGAAAATGGTAAAAGCAATCTACTCACATCAAAAGAAATTGCATAATCATAAAGTAGAATGACAATTTGAAGAAATGGTCTCAACTATCAATTGGAGAAAAAAATGATTTATGATTATTATTTTTCTACTTTTGATAAACCCAACAAAATGACTCATTCAGACACTCCAGCAAAGTATCCCAACACATCATTACGTTTGAAAAACATAAATTCAGCAATGAACAAATTTTTGACCTGGCATGAACTACAAAAAGATATACAATACTTTAACCAATCAATTTCTACACACCAACAGAAAGTTATACAATCAAAACAAAGTTCCACAGCCTAAAGCATAACACAAAAAGTAATGTTCTAGGCATTTCTAAGATAGCTTATGTATCTTGATTTCGAGTTGACGCATGAATCAGACTTTCATAGAAAGAGCCTTATGCTGGCCATCTATCAATTTAAACAAAGGCAATTTTTATGAGGCTTTTCAATGCCCATCCCACACTCGATCACAATAGAGAGGATAATAAAAATCTTTTGTATTTTTTTCGTGAACGATAATAAAAATGTCGTGCAGAGAAGAAACTACACCATGCTTGAAGAATGCAATATATGATGATAATGCTAAGCTATTGCTCATTAATTGGACAATTGACTGTGCACGGATGTCCAGATAGATGAACCATTGTAAAATGCATAACTTCAGAAGTGAGTCCGAGAACCGACCTTTGTTCATGAATGGCCTGAATACAAGCCACAGCAAATTTCTTAACTCTGAAGTTGACAAGGGCTTTACTGGATGAATAATCAACACCAGCAAAAAGGCTAACAATTTCTTGTGCTGCATGTAAACAGAGAATAAGCATTAGCGACAGGATAAAACGGGAAGGATAGAAGAGGTAGTGAGCTTAGAGAGCTGCATATTCATGTTCGACAGGCTTAAAATGTTATAAAGAATAACAAGCACAAGCTGAAAATTAATAATTTTGAAGAATTCTAATAATGAGAAACTTACAATTATTTCCAATGAACTTCAGAAGCAAACGACAAGTTTCCGCTAGAACAGTGACGTCGGCAATATTTGCTGGGTTGAAAAAAAAAGTTAATTGGGGCAGGAAAGCTTCATTAGGACCAAAACTCTGCCTGAAATGAAATATGAAAAGAAGAGAAGATATTAAAAAAAGAGCTCGGATGAAATAAAAGTCCTGCAAAAATGGTGCAGGAACTAAATCAAATAAATGGGTCAGAAAAAAAACATCTATCTCTATCGTTCTAGCTGCAATTTTTGAAAAGACAGAGTTTCTATCTAAGCTATTGAAGCAAACAACAGCATCTAAAAGCACCTGTTAACATTTTGGCAGTGCTTCCCAAACGCAGTAAAGAATTCTTCACGTACAACAGAACGTGCAGCCTCCACAATCTTTCTTCCTCTGAAACATTTCTGTTAAAAGAAGTTAGTCAAAACTTTTCAAAAAAATCTAATGACACTAAGTGCTTCTTTGCAAACAATGTGAATAAAAGATACTAACATACAAACTAAAGATGCTCCACACCCCTTTGAAGTCAAAATGGCAGAAAGGAAGACACAAATTGTCAAACAGGATACTCATCATAAAGCAGAATTGTAACTAGATAAGTAGCAGAAAACTTTGATGTACTAGATACAGCAAGCCAGTCCATTGACTTTGAGAAGAATAATGGTACTGTTATACTGTATTAAATTTGAAATGTCTTAAAATGGCTGATGTAGATCTCTTCATAACATAAGATTATTTAATAATCAGTGTATTCCTTCTCAGCTCGTTATGCAATGTAAATGCGAAAAGGTTTGAACCGTTCCCCATGAATTGTTACTCTTAACAAGAACAAGAAAACACACCTCAGAACTGCAAAAGAAGATTGATTTATAACCTAAAAGTTGCGAGGTAATCAGGCATTTTTTGTAAACAAGTTGATATGAGTCCCTATTTTCTTGGCATAACCGTGTTACCTGCGGAAGAAAGGTCACATTCCTTTCCATTTCCATTACTGTAAAAAGGTCATTTGTTCAGTATCTGGTTTGTGTTGTATCAAAAATACGCTATCCTTGTTAGGACTGTAGAAAACTAACAAATTCAAAGTCATTCCACCTGGAATATCCATCTTCTTAAAACCACTAACTCTAAACTCTCAACACCATCCTAAGCGTATTCAACTGACAATCCAGCCCCGCCCAGACACTTCATTACTTAACTCAAGAGAGATCCTTCTTCCCAAATTGGGTAACTTGGAAGAAAACCAACTAAAATAGACGTTCAGTTTTCAATCGTACCGAGATTTAAATAAGCTCAACCCTACAAGAAATATGACCACAGGAGTAAAAACAATCTCAAAGTGGCAGCTACAGCTGAAATTAAGCACCCAACTCCTAATAAAAGCTCAACAATTTATACAAATTTCAAAGACAAGTAAATAAGAGCATTTCCATAAAAAAAAAAAACTTGTGCAACAAGAAAGCAGACCAAAATTAAAAGCCACTGTGAAATACCGGAATTCATAATTTTACCAAAAAAGCTAAAACCTAGGCGGAACATAACCTAATGTGCGAAAAATATCTCCAGAAATCACAGTTGTTATACAAATTAAGAACCTAATTCCTAATCCAAAATCAATACTTAAAATTACAAGCTAGGGAATTCAAGTAAAGAAGTGCATTATACGAAAAATTTCATCCCAAAGAAGCAAAAAATTAAAAAAAGTTGAAAAAAGAGGGGAAAATTAAAAAAAAAAAAAACCTGAATTTTAAGAGCAGCAGAATTGTGCTGCTTGAGCACAAGTCGACGATTCCTCTCGAGCTTGGTTTGTTCGATGAGCTTCTTCCGGTCTCTTTCTTTCGAACTCCGGCCGCCTAAATCCACTCGCTTCCGCGTCGTGGAGTCCCCGGAGAAAAACATGACGATGAGAAAATGATTATCTGATTTCCCTTTCTTCTTTTTCCCCGCTCACCAACGAAATTAAATTCCCAAAGAAAGGAATGATAATTCAGTTAATCAAAACTTGATGATGAAGAGATTTTCAGAATCTACAGAATCTAACTTTGCTTTTATATAGGTACGATGATAATAGTTACTCGTATATATAAGAAACTAAGGAGGCTGTTGGCTCTTCGGTGGTGGCTATTATATAGTAGTATTTTATATTAGTATTATTTAAATCCGTATTATATAAGAGATGAAAAAAAAATGTATATCTTTATATATATTAAAGGAGAGTTTCCAATCGGACACATGACGTTAGATAGGTTAATCCACATGGCGCAAAATTAGATGGAAGTCCATATGTCGCAACCATATCACTACATCATTTAATAGTAATTTTTTAATATAAAATTGTAATTTATAGATAAAACTAAATTAATTAGGAGATCTTCCCTTAATAGTAAATTTTACATCTGTATTTATTTTATTAGTCCTTGCATAATAATACTATTTGTTAAGTAACCCACGTATTGTGATTAATTGACTATTCTGAATTATAGTCTTTTAAAAAAAATTTTCATCCCAATGATTAGAGTTTAGAGATTAACGTCCTAAAAATTTGCGAAAAATCATCCAATTTGACGTGAAATCCAAAAAACTAGATAACCATAAAAAATGTGCAGTTATCTTTTATTGAGCTTGGAGTAAACTCTATATCATGGCACAATAATTAATGGTCATATATTGCTAAATACAAATGGAACAAATATAAAACAGATATTTTTTTACAACATTTTAAGAAAAAGATATCCCTCTAATGAATGTTTACTCCGGAGCCAGGATACATCTTTTATTTCTATTAAAAATTTTCATATACCATAAGAAAATTACACAAATTACTAATTTTTGGAACAAATAAATGGATAGGTATTTTTATTATTAATAAATAAACAAATCGACTATATTAAAAGAGAGTTTTCTACTGAACACATGACGTAAAATGAGGAAGGGTGATTCACATGGCAAAACAATAGATAACTAATTTTATTGGATAAATCAAGAGCAAGTTAACCAATGTATAATTTAAATTATTCTCTGACACGCTCTTCATATATAGCAAACCTATTCGGATATTGATTAGGGATGTGGCCGTTGATAATGGTGAAGGCTGGCGGATGAAGGGAAAGGAGACAGTAACTAAACTTCTAAAGAATTATTGGGTCGATATCTTTTTTTTCTTCTTTTAAGCAAAAAGAAAGAGAGACTTGCGAAACTTTAAGCTGAGAGGCACAATAATACACTTAGAGGGTATACCTCTAAAATGAATATTTTAACCCCCAACACAAAGTCCAAAGAATCCCCATATTATTTAAAGATAGAAGAACTGGTAGTACCTAATACTTACCAGGATACAGAAATGTGTAGATATATAATAAAGTCTATCTATTATAACAAAGCTCCACATTATGTAGCCCCTTTACTAAGACTACCGGACTCTCACATATGGCATAGACTGTTGATCTAAGAGGAGAAGGCCCTTGGTGTAACTCGGAAGATCACCAAGACCCGAATATAGTTCGGAATGTCAAACTAAAGCCTTTCGAGCTAAGCTATCCGCCTATCCGCCTATCTGCAACGGCATTAGCCTCTCTGAAAATATGATGTATTATAACCCCTTCTCTCCATAATAGCATGAATCTCTACCATTTCAAAGTGAAATTTCCAAGGAAAGAGACCCCCGTTGGATAAGATGTTTGCCAGCATTTGGCTATCCGTTTCCATCAATTCTAAGATTTCACATTTTCGTATTCCAAACAAAAGGCTAAACACTTCTGCTTGAAAAAAATAAAATAAAAAAATCACCACAATAGATCGTACTTAAATGTAATTAAATATGGGTCTAATACTAGGGAGTACAATTTCCTAACACTAGGTTGTTATTCAATTCCTTTTGGATCGACATCTTACTTCTCCCTCCGTTTCTTATTTCTTCCTTTGGCTTATGCCAAGAAATCAATATGTTTCCTATTTCTCCCTTTGACTTCTGCCAATAAATCAATCTGAAACTTTGTAGATAACTATTTTGTTCAATCAGATGAAGCGTCTATTGGTTCGAACATAGAAAGAGCAAAAAAAGTACCAAATTTATATTTAGCAAGGGTTTTTAATTATTATTATTATTGTTATCATCAATTACTACTGCATGTGATGTTACTGTTCAAGCTCAATTGGCCGAAACGGAATATCTGCACGGTCCCTTTCACTATTCCTTCGTTTTATTTATTGTTATATAAAAGTTGTGACACGGGAGCATTATGTAAAATTAAGAGTATACTTCTAATAAAATATATAAAGTCATAAATTAACAAAACGAAAAAGATGGACAACAAGTTACATTAGATAATTTAGAATATTGAAAATTACTCAAAATAACAAACTTTCAAATTACATTAGTAAATTATTTGTTTTTATATATATCACTCCGTAAAAATGTCATACAATCGTTAAATCATTAACCTCATATATATCTTGAACAACCCGCACAACGTGCGGGTAAACTCTAGCATGTTATAATTACAATATATGATGTGATTTGGGGTAATTAGGGCAATGTAAATTTGATTACCCAATAAATCTTACCCCTCAATTTTGACAATTTCTTTAGTAAAAATAATTCATAAAAACGCAAAATTTATAAAAAGAACCAAAAAAAAAAAAACTTTAAATTAATGCATAAATAACATCGTGGTTAATTGACAAAGGAAGAGCACAACGTGATGGTTGAATCGGTAAAAATTTTTGTAAATTGTATGGTTTTTGGTTAAAAATTTGTCGTCTTTTCCATATATAATTTTCTTTATTTTTCACTTATTTGGTTCAGACGTATTAATTTTCCGATAATAAGAATATGATTGTGTTGACAGTGAGGTACAGTTTAGTTGGTAAGACATCTTTCTTGTTTTCAATAAGTTAAGGGTTCGATTCATATCGGAGTAATTGAAGAATCACTATTAATCCTTTTCAAAAAAGGAAAAAAATGTGTTTTGTTTTTTTTTTTTTGCTACATCTAAATAATTTTTACAATAAATATATAGAGATCCGACTTTTGTATATTAGGTTTTCGTCTAAACAGGGTGTAGCTTTGACATTTTGCCTCTACATTAGTAGTAATATGATTTTTTTTTTTTTTCAATTAAACGGTTCCACTTGTTCCTTCTTAACTTGATTGTGTTTTTCGTCATTGTCGTCTAAAAATTGAGAAATTTTGAATTTGGTTTGGGAACTCCTGATATGTGTCTCGAGCTTGATTATGGATTCTTATGAAATGTACATTAACACCTACTTCATAAGTTGCATTGATGTTAATTTCAAAATCACTAACTAGGTATTTGTCTATGTAAATCTTTTATGCAGTTTTGTGAATGGCATTGGAAACCCTCGTAATTTTTATACCTCCAAAAGAGATGTTCCAAAAATTTACCTCAAAAAGGAAAATTATCTGTTTAAGTTTGGTACCAAATTTCTGCAAGTGCTTACATATTATAAGACCAAATAAACTTAGAGGTGCAAAAACTCACTCACCATAATGGAATAACGACAAAATTAGTAGTTTAAAGAGTTTGTCTCAAATTATTGAGATTTTGGGTTTAAGTTTGATACCAAATTTCTGCAAGTGTTTACATATTATAAGACCAACAAAACTTAGAGGTGCCAAAACTAACTCACCATAACGAAATGAACGACAAAATTAGTAGTTTAAAGAGTGTCCCAAATTATTGAGATTTTGGGTTTAACTCTCGTAAAATGGATAGTATTACTGATAGAGTCCATAAATTATGTTTTAATTGTTGATATTTTATTAGTTTATTATGGACTCGGATGGTTTTGATTCATTGGTTTTGTTATTATTTCATGTTAGGAGCTGGAAATAAGAGATTGGAGCTATTTTGGGCAAATCTGGATGTCTAGGGATCTTTTCGCACAATTAAAGAAGTTTTGAGACAAAAATGACAAAATTGTAAAGTTGAACGACTAATCTGAAAATTTCGGAAATCTTTTCTCTTTCCTGTACGGCTGACCTAATTACTGGAATATATAGACTTCAAAGTTTAAGAAATGGGCAGCCGTGCGTAGGAATAAGCTAGCGCCTCCTACTTTTCGTTTTCCGATTTTTCTTTGTTTTTTCATGGAAAATCAAGCTGTCATGCTTCCAACTATGAATGACTAAGTTTTCTTTTCCGATTCAAGGGATTTATTCAGTTATTTCATTATGAGATTTTGTTCTTAATTTATTGTTTTTGCCTATGATTTAAGTATTTGTTGATTCTTGTTCTTATTTTATAAAAGTAGACATCATTCGAATTGACAACTTGATTGGATGTTTTTCTTTTTTAATACTATCTGCTAGTTGAATGTTACGTAATTGACACGAACCGGCAGTATCGAGTAGCAATTAGATAAAGTATGTGTATTAGTGAGACGTTAAATATGCATATTAGTTTAAATGTGGAATCAAGATGACAAGTCAGAATAATTGTAGTTATCTCAATTGTTTAGGTTTTGGTTCAACTATATTTCCTTGGTATTTGTGCCGTCATTGTTTGGCATGGAACGCTATCGTGCCCATCCGGATTATGATAAGGACTATTTGGGTGCTAGGCTTGGTTAGTTAATTTAGGGAGATTAATTGATTTATTACGGCTATCCTAATAAATCTTTTGTTGAATGCTTAGATTGCTTGAATAGTTTTTGCAACCCGTGATTAATGAAATAATTAAGTTGTCTGTCCCTTGAATCAAAAGTTTGTTACCTTGATTTCTTTTCTGTTATTTATTTTCTGTTATTTGAGTTTTCTTTATTATAGATTAAAACAACAACAAAAATTCTCATTCGAATTAATTTGAAGGAAACAATCCATCGTTCCCTGAGGAGACTGAGGAGACGACCTTATTTCTCCATACTACGTAGCTTGAAGTAGGTTTATAATTATTTATGTGGATTGAAACCTCATCAACTATCCTAAATCATAATGAGATTGCCAAAATTTTGCGAATGTTTACATGTTTGCAAAAATTTGGCATAACGAGCAAAAGTATCAGTGGTGAAGATTTTGCCTCAAATTCTGAGTAATGCTCTCATCATAAATAGTTCTGACCGTGTAGAAAGAGCATTGAGTAATGCTCTCCAGAAGAGGGACTTGT